GCACGTTGCCGTCAGCCTCTGCCAGGAGCCGCGCTGCGAGGTGCTGTGGCAGCTGGGGCCGAGTGGTTTGGCTGCCCGTGCCAGCAGCCTGCCCCAGCTGCACGTTCCCATGAGCTCTGCATTTTCTTTTGATCCCTGTCGTGACTCAGTGGTGTGGTAGCGAGCGTTTTATTCTGCGCTTATGGTTCTGTGTCCCCCATCCTGTGGCTGCTGAGGCGTGTTTTTGTGTAAGGCCTGCCAGCCAGACGCCTGCTCTCCCCTCTGAGGAAGCCCTCACCACCAATGTCACCACTAACCCATGTCCCCAAGCACCATGTCCAGCCTTTCCTTGAACACCCCCAGGGACGGTGACCCCACCACCTCCCTGGGCAACCCATCCCAGTGCCTGACTGCTCTTTCTGAGCAGAAATGTCTCCTCATTGCCAACCTGAACCTCTCATGGCGCAACTTGAGGCCATTCCCTCTAGCCCTATCACTGTGAGAAGAGGCCGACTCCCAGCTCCCCACCCCTTCCTTTCAGGCAGTTGCAGAGAGCAATGAGGTCTCCCCTGAGCCTCATCTTCTCCAGACCAAACACCCTCAATTCCCTCAGCTGCTCCTCAAAGGCCTTGTGCTCCAGGCCCTTCACCAGCTTCACAGCCCTGCTCTGGACACGCTTCAGGGCCTCCATGTCCCTGCTGGGACTTTCCTCTGACCTTCATATAGGCACAAACAGAATTTGCTTAAACTTTCTGTGGGGAAACACGGGTGTCTGCTCATGTACAGAGCCCAGCTTGCATGGTCTTTGGCCTGTGTCTTTGTGCCACAGCAGCGCGGGGTGGGCTTGCGCTGGGGGCTTCTGGCTGGCGTGCTCCAGCCATTCCTCCTGGGAGGCGCTGCCTGCTCTCAAGGAGCTGCTTGCTGGCACGTGGGAGCTCATTGCAATTCAGGGGAAGTAGCTGAAACTTTTCTGGAAAAGTAGGTCAGGGAAATCTGCCTGTCAGGAAAGTCTGGGGGGAGAAAAGGGGATTTGATGAAGGCGATAACAGCCCAACGCAATCCACCTCCATCTGCTTCTATTGAAGGGATTTGTGGCTTGAATGTAAATCATAAAGGCGTCTGTAAAAACGCAGCTCCTGCTCGAGAGGCATCTGGTGACCTCCGTCAGCAGCGGCACCTTGTAGCTCTCCCCTGTCTGAGCTGTGCTGCCTTGCAGGTAGGTTTTTGGGCAGCCATCAGGGCTGGCAGGGTATGGACCATCAAATCTCGGAGGACAGCAGTGTCCTGTTAGTCAGCACGGCTCCTGTTTGACCACAGGGCTTTCCTTTTAACAAAACCGTGCTTATAACAGGCAGGCTGCCCCTGAGGCTGGACAGAGGAGAATCCTTGTGAACAGCAGCATCCTCTTCTGTTGCAGCAGGTAGGGCTGTCCTCGCATTGCTCAGCCAGCGCTGAGATCTGTCTCACCCACCTCTTCCTCTTTACGAATGTGCCTACCCGGTACTGAAGAGGCTGCCGGGTTTTCTAGCAGCCTCAACCGTGGAAGAGATTTATTCAGTGCTGCTGCTTTCAATAGGTGCTGGTCTGCTGCCAAAAAGGGGAGAGCCGGTTTGGTTTCTGTTACTGAAGCAGCTCAGGTTTTCGGGAACATCGATGGCTTTACGCTGTTCTCTGTGTTACACGCCGGGAATTGATTTTGGGCGGAGAGCAGGAGTTCTCCACGCTGCCGCTTCTTAGCCAAGAACTGGCCCAGTAACTAGCCTTTGGCTACGGGAATAATACGTGCCGAGAAGGCAGCCTCTGTCTCCTACTCTGTGGATGCTTTGGGACCAAGGTCCAAATGTAAAGCAAAAAGCACCAGATGCAGACTCAGCTGGAAACAATAAATTTCAGGTTGGAAGTGCTTCAGTGGTTTGTATTGTAAAGGCAAGTCCCAGGGAGAGAGGTTTGCTTCAGAAAACTCATATAATAACAAAACCTGGGCAAATGAGGAGAATCTTGTTTAGGCACAATGCAATTAATGCACCTTCATGCTAACACTTGAGGCAATGTGCACTCACCTGTGACTTCTGCCAGTGGAAATGTGAAGGACTTCAAGCCTCTTTCATAGAGTTCAAGACATGGATGCTGGGAATAGGAGTCCTCAGCGGCTGGGATGATAGTTGGATGCTTTTCCCTTTCAGTGGTGAGAAGAGAAACACACAGGGCTGTCAGACCACATACGTTTCTGTTCTCCAAAATGGGCCAGAGCTGGAGGACCAAATGCTAATAGCCGTGCTGCCGGTACTGCTGCTGTCACCAGGCTCCCTGGGGCTCTGCTGCAGCCTTGCTTCTGCTTTTCTTACATTCTGGAGCATCTCAGCTGTACAGAAAAAGCCTTATGCACCTTCTCACAGACTGGGGTCAGTGGGAAGACCATTACCACCTGTAGAGCAGCTGGCGCACAGCAGCGTGGGCTCAGGGCGACCAACATGGTAAATCGTACCCAGTCCTGTGAGCCCCTCCTGGCATTTCCTCCCAGAGCCCTGTAAGAATTACAGGGTTACACAGTATGTTCATTTTTAGCTTCCTTTTTGAAAGTGAAAGGGTGACTCACTTTGTGTTTACTAGAGGGAAAGCTCACAAATAATTAATCTGCTTTTGTATGGAAATGAGAGCTCAGTTAAAATCTCCAAAGTCAGTCTATTAAGATTGGCTCGCTGAAGCTACTTTAGATGTGCTGGATTATAAGAACACTCATCTAAACATGTTTTCTGTAGAAAGCCCAGTTAATTGGATGGAGGATTATTATTCCTGAGCAGTCAGAAACCAACGGATTCCGGTCGGTGCCCTCCAAGAGGCTGGAGCTGGCAGATCTTATCGCGTGTGCCCTCCCTTCTCACGTGGGGGTTCGAAGAGGAGAATCACCTTTCTGCTTTTTCAGGCTCCCAGTTGGTTTCCTCAGCTCTGCGACTTGCCAGCGAGCCGAAGTGTTTCATTTCTGGTTGCTCGTGGTGTTCTCCCTGTGCAGCCAGGGCAGGGAGAGGCTAGCCCTCGGCAAACTCTGCTCCCTGATGCCTGCCTGGTGAGCTCCCCGCGCTGCTTCTTTGAATTCTTTAAAGCTATGGAGAGTCCTACTGCAATTTCTTTTAAATTCACAAATTTATTATTATTATTATTAGCTGTGTAGTAGGGTGATAGCTAACATTTCCATGCACTTTTCATTTAAATGCATTTCTCTTTTTCTAAAGACTTGAATACAATATCTCAGCTTTTGTGTCTACTCTGAGGAGCGTGCGCTTGGCTCTTATCTGCCCACATCTGGTCTGGAGGAAAGCCACCGCAGAGGAGAAGGAAAGGAAGAGCTTTTTGCAAACAAATAGCCTCGCACTGAGGCTCGAGCATGATGGAAGCTGAAGGGAGGCTCGGGATTGCTGAAGCGTGAGGTTCTTGGCCCAGATGAATAGTCACCATGGCCTGGGCCCCAGGAAGCACCCGTGACAGAAGGCTTGGGGTCTGGGCAGGGCTGTGTACGTTATTAGCCTGGCCCAGATGTAAAATCCTGGCCTAGAGGACTGTGCCCTGCAAGCTGTGGGTGATTTTGGGGGGCAACGCTGTGTGCCAGGACTCACTGATGGTTCTTGGCCTCCCCAGGAGCGAGGTCATGGCTGGATGCTGCCTAGAAGCCCCTTTGCCACTGAACATGGGCTACTTGGGTTACGGGGGTGGCATATATATAGTAATGGGGTGGTAAATATAGTCATAACTGGGCACAGAGGAAGCAAAACAAGTTTCAGAGGAGGCTCACAAAAGCCCCGTGGCAGACAAGACTGACTGCTACGTGCAGAGCGTTGACTAGGGGAAGAGCAGACCAGCTTGTGCTTTGTGGCAGTGCAGGAAAATTAGCCTCGTTGTTGGTTTGGGGTGGGTTTTTTTTTGCTTTTTTCTTTTCCCCCTGCAGGTAAGACGTGCCTGTGCCCTGTGCTTTGGCTGTCACAACGTGAAGGACAGCGGGGCCGTGCGTGCCGCTGCTGAGCGCAGGGGGAACTGCAGTGGGGCCCAGCTCTAACTGGCCTTTACATGCCTCTCTAATTACACGTTGATTTTAAGCAGGGATTATTCTTCTAAAGCCGTATTTTAATTCGCCAAGGCAATTTCAGCGCATATTAAAAACTAAGCCAGCGCAGGCTTTGCATCTGCCAGTTCTGGCAAGATCGTGGTACCCAGGAAAGCCAGGACCTGCAGACGTTCCTCCTCTTTGTGGTACCAGCCTGTTTGAGTTCCTCCTGCTGCTGGTCTGGCTGCAGGACTGCCTCTCCCTTGTACAAAGCAGGGCTGGCTGCGCTACAGGTGCACAATCTGTAGGGTTTGGGCAAGCCAAACGGCAATTGGGAGTCCCTAAAGGACGTATCCCTGCGACCTGCTTCTTGCAAGGAAGCAGAAGGAGCCTGGCAAGTTCCTTGAAAAGCCAGCGTCTTCAGCGAGGGAGGGTGAATATAAGGTGCTACCGACAAGCTGCTGAATGCTTTGGGATCTTGGCTTCTCGGGGTTTGCGTTTTGTTCCAGTCCCCGCATATTGCCGTGCACGCTGTTGGTAATTGTGCCTGGTTTGATCTTTTGTACGCTTGCCTCTTGGCCCTGGGAGCTGAAGATAGCGCGGTCTAACCAGGCTGCGGTGCTGCCCCTCCCTCCAGGCACCGGGGTGGTTTGTCTGATCCCCTGACAGCATTTCTTGTTAAGGAATTACCAGATGTTTCTGAACTAGGTTTTTTGTTTGAGTACCTTCCTGCGATGCCCAGGTCCCGAGCCCTTAGTTCAGTTCGCTCCCCTGGTGTTGTTGTCCTTTAACTTTTGTCCTTCTCTTAAAAATCGTGACTGATTTCACTGTTACTTGCAGTCTTAATTATTGCCTGCCCTTCTTAACCACTTCCTCTGCGTTAGTTAGAGTCAGAGGTGCCTTTCCTGGCTGTTTTCAAAACAGTATTATTTTGGGCTCGAGCTAGCTTTTCTTTCTTCCACGGTGTGGTCAGCGAACCAAAACAAGTCACATTGTTGTCTCTTCTGCTTCAGCTGGCTGGCGCGGAGCCGCCCGTGGGCCAGGCCCAAGGTGCGTGCACTGGCACCCATTTCTCGAGCAGGCCACGTCGAAGAGCTGGGGATGAATCATTTCAGGAACGTTTAGCCGCCTCCCGTGTGAAATTCAGAGCACTTGGAAAGAAAACGAGGGCACTGCGTCTGAACCTGCAGGTTTGATTTGGCCAACACCCACCCGGGCAGGTGGGAAGGAGCACCCCTGTCACGGCGGGTGCTTGCAGGCAGCTCTGTGCTAAAAGCCAAGCTGCTCCGTGGCACCAGGTAAGCTGCAGCTCCTTGCTGTGCAGCGTGTGAGGGCTCTGACAGCTGGCTAGCTCTTTCTAGGCAGGTCGCAGGGTTTCTATTTCGATCTCGCTCGCGCCACGGAATGCACAGAGTTTGCTCCCCCGTGATTTTACCACTTCTGTCCCCCCTTTTCAGACGAGGGTGCTTGTGTCACCTGTGGTCAGCACAGTGGCCTCACTGGTCTAGGCCAGTGTGGTGAGGGACTTGCATGTCAGAAGTTCTTTGTTGTTGTTTTTTTTAAAAATAGCTGCTGGAAACCTCCATGCAGAAAATAAAACCTCATTTTTGGTCAGCCTGGTCCCTTCTTGCTGCTGCTTGGGCAGTAGCCTGCAGAGACCGACAGGGCTGGGGTGGCGGGTGAAAAGCTGTGCTCTCAGCCACAGGTGGGTACCGAATTTCATGCTGCCTAAAAGGACAAGATTTAAAGCAAAACTAGCGGGGAAAGCCTTAAACCAAGGCTGAATAGGTCTGGGAAGGCAGCACAGCAGGTTTATTAAAATAGCAGCGCTCCGGCTGGTGCAGATCTTGGGGGTGATGCCAGCCCACGATGCCTTGGTAGGGCATTTCTCCCTTTTTATGAGCTGTGTGATGGCTCCGAGCCCGGCATCCTCATGGCCCTGCTTCGCCGCCCCGCTGCTCGGGGCCATCCTTCCCTTAGGCACACGGCGTTACAAGCGGTTCATGTCTTACTCCAGGTGCACCAGCAGCACACCGACGTGTGGGCAGCATGACGGCAGCTGAAGGCCCGCGGCAGAGGTAACTTTCTGGAGAGGGGAGCACAAAGCAAAGCCCCCCCAGGGCAGCATTGCTCCTGCCTCTCCCCGTGGCAGGGCTGGCGCAGGCTGCTTAGTGCATCGTGGCTTTATCAACGATGTTTCAAAGCATAACCTACTAAAACCTTGCGGAGGAACCATCGCCTTGCCTGCAGAGGAAGAGTTTTATATCCTCAGTGAGCCGCTGTGCCATCTCAGTGGCACCACCACGCTGCCAAGCCTGGCTCAGGACACGGAGGAGTGCTGAGAGCTCGCGATGGGAGAGCAGGCTCTTGCCGGGAGGCCTCTGGGTGGCACTCGGAGCTCCTGGGCAGCCCCACGCGTGTCCCTGCAGCGGGGAAGCGGCTTCTGTCTGCCTGCGTAAAGCGAGCAGCCGGCGGCAGCGAGCTCAAGGGCAAAGCACCGAGCAAAGCGGAGCTGTTCTGAGCTCAGCTGCCCGGGGATTAAAGAGTCAGGCACCCTTCCAAGGGCTGGTGGGAGCAGGACGTGCCTGCTAAGTGTGCGTGCGCTGTGAGATGGTGACCTTTAATGCAATTAAAAAGGGACTGCCCAGGCGGATGACTGCAGCTGGGGCTGCTGGGGTGGGCTTTCTCTCCCAGAGGACAGGAAAAATGAAAGGCTCGGGGTTAATGCAGTGGCACCGAGGGCCCGCTGAATGTGTTGCACATGGAAAAAAGGCTGGGTTCTGTCCCGAGCGGCCATCCCACGAGGGGAACTCTGGACAGCTGAGGGCAGCCAGCTGTGAAGATGAGGAAGGATGGACCTAACCTTTTTACAGGACGCTGTGCTTGTCCCTTTGCCTGCTGTGCTTATGAAGCCACCCGAGTGCCACCTGTGGGAGAGCAGAGAGGCAGGAGCGTGCTGTCAAGCCGTGCACGCTGTGTCACGCTCCCCCCAGGGGAGGCTCTTGAAGCAGGCTGACGTCGGCCTTCATCCCAGGTCATCTTCACGCACGTCACTGGCCCACCTCCCTGAGCTGCGGCGCCTGATGAGGAACCCGCTGCTGTCCCAGTTCTTCGCTCCTGCTTGCTGGCACCAGGGACGTGGCTTCTGGAAAGGGAGTACAACTCCCTCTTCCCCTCTGCATGCACTGGCAGTGCCTCATCCGTGTATATCGCGACACAGGACGCAGTGCCTTGGCTTTAGGAAGTCGGGAGAGCTGGATGCCGGTGGAGAAAATGTGCCACATCGGCACAAAGGGAGTGTGAGGCCTGCCATTAAGGTTCCAGATCCCACCAGGGGCACAGATGTGCCTTTCGAAGAGCCCTCAGTGCTGCCTGGCTTTGTGTTCCAGCCTTCACCTTCAGCGTGTGGCTCCAGCAGAAGTGCTCCTTAGCACCTCTGCCTCCTCGCTGGCTGCATCCTGTGCAAAAACAGATGTCTGAGGGTCCTTGGTTGCACAGAGCTCAGGCTGCTTCTCTGCCAGGCCATTTTCCAGCCCATGGATGAGCTTTGGGTAGTTGCACAGCTCCATTTTTGCAGGGTGCCTGTTCTGGTACTGCTCACGCCTTGTGTTTTCACCCCATTTTCCTCTCCCCTCTGCCAGCCTCGTCTGGGATGCTCTGGGAAATTACACCTGTGAGGTTTGAATGCCATCAGGTTCATTGAGCCCCTGCGTTTGCTTTTTTGTTGTGTTTTTTTTGTTTTCCACTTGGCAGGACGCGTGTTTGCGTGGATGTGGGTGTGCTCCCTTTCCCTTACGGTCACCTCAGCTGAGGATGGGGGCAGTGACAGACGTGTGTGCGCTCCCTGCCTTCTCGGCCAGCAGCAGCGGTGCTGTGCGGGTGAATAAAGAGCAAATCAAAAGGAGAAGCTGCTTTATTGTGCTGCGGGTTTAAAAAGCCATGATCAGGGGAGGGGATTTTGCAGGTTGCAAGCAGCATTACACAGCTGTGCTCACCACAACCCTATACAAAGGATGTCCTTGCCATAGTTCCGCTGCCCGAGAGCAGTTCCTACTTATCCCATATGATCAGGTAGATCCAGATTTGTAACTTTCCTCCCTGAAAGTTGAATAACTTGTGGGGATCACGGACACACTGTTCTGATCGTCGTGGATCAATCCCGTCCTGTGGGGATCTGCAGGGATTAGCGAGGGACCCGCTGCTATCCGGACCTGTGCCTGCACAGCAGTGGCACAAATCTGGGCGATGCACGGACCCGTTAAGTAACAGATCAAAAGAGGGTCATCAGGGATAGGCAGGCTGCTGGGGAGCACCCTTTTGAAACAGGTGTGCTCTGTAGCTGCAAATAAATACGTTTAGAGCCTGGGACATGCGTGCTAATCTCGCTGGGAGGGGAGGTGGTGTTGCAGAAAGCACTGCTTTGAAAAGGGTTTGGGGTCACAGGGCAAGCGATATCTCTGGGGGCGAGGGCAGTGCGTGGAAGCAGGTGCCCAGCTTTCTGCACGTGCTGTGGCTCTCCCGCTGCGTGCAAGGAAGCTGGAGAGGGTAGGAAGAGAAGAAAAGGAGCTTTAAAAGTGCTTTATCGGACATAAAAGAGCTCAGTTTTAGGCTGAGGAAATAGGCAGAGCTGATCCGCATGCACATACTCTTCCCCGAGGAGAGGCACCAGGTACTGCTGGGATCCCTGAGTTTTTCGGAGAGGAGCACGAGCAGCTGGTAATGAATGAGCTGCTTTGGGTAAGGAGCACGGCTTACAGCAAGAACGACTGCCGGGGAGAACTGCAACCTTTCAACATCCTCAAATTAAGACATTTATGGAAGTTTTAATCTGGGGAGAACTTTTTCATGCGGGTAACTACAGCTGTATGGAAAATCGGAGTAGTCCTTGACTTCCACGGGCAAGCCTCGCACCTCCAGGATGTCCTCTAGGATCTAGGGAAAGCCAAAATGAGCACCGGCTGGGGAGTGGTGGCAAAGCTTGGCCGTCATTCTCCTTCGTGGTTTTTCCCTGCCACTTACCATGTCCCCGGGCTGCGAGGTGCTCGGGGTGGCTCTGCTGCAGGAGGCGTCCCGTGGGGCTGCTGCCCCGAGTCCGCTCCAAGCAGCGCCGGGCTAGAGGAGAGCCGGGCTGTGGTGCCTGCAGGGGAACATTTGCCTTAACTAAGTCCGGGATAAGAATGGATTTAGGTGCTTTGGTTTATAAATAAACAGCACTCGTGGCCAAGGTAGATTTAAGCAGAGCTGGCAACAGCCCTGCTTGGGAAGGGATCTCTCCGCCACATGGCCTGCTGTTGGACTTCCTGTCGCACGGTAATCCCTTAAGCCTGCTTTAGCTCCGTTAATTTCCCTCCTTCCCTTTTTTTCCCCCCGTGGGCTGCCTCGGTGGCGCGTGAACGCCGGCGTTCCTCGGCCGAGCCTGTGCCCGCGGCGGGGCCGAGCCTCCAGGCTGCCTTCCCAGCGCCGGGTACCATGTGGCAGGGCCCCAGGGATGGTGGTGCCTGAATGCGTCCCATTCTCTCTGTCTTACAGGCTCTGCAGCCTGCGCCTGAAGAAGCTGACGGTGCTGAAGGAGCTGGACAAGGAGCTGAGCTCGGTGCTCATCGCCGTGAAGATCCAGGTAGGCTCCTCTCCTTGCCCGGTGGCACCAAGCCCTCGTGGTGAAGTGCCGGTCTACGCTGGTGCTTTGTGCCATCCCCTTGCTCCTGCCTCCTGGAGCACCCTTGGGGTGATTTTGGCTCCCAGGCAGAGGGGATGATGTCCCAGCGAGCTGCCTGGTGCTGCCTGGCATCGGGGATGAATTTGGCTAGCCCTCCGCGCTGGGACAGAGTGCGTCCCGCTTCCCTGCCTCCACCAAGGCTCTCCTTACAAGCTGCTGGTGAGGTTTTGGCATCCCTTACCCCGCTCCCAACCCTTTAGGCGAGCTGGGTGCTTTCTGGCAGCTCTCGCTGTCTGGATCCCCCTCCCTGGGGAGGGCAGGGGCTGTGTGAGGGATGTGCGTGACTCCTGCAGGCATCTGATCCCTGTGGGATCTCGCTGCTGCCTCTGCTGCCCCCTCCCTTTCTCCGTGTGCTGGTGGCGGAGAGATGGGTCCTTGTGGGTTGTGGGCACAGCCTTTGCCAAGGGACAGCATGGAAGAAGGATGCCTCTTGGGCGTGCTGTCCTTGCCACAGCTCCCCTGACCCAGCCGGGACGCCGGTGTCCTTTCTTCGTTCTTGTCAGCCGCCCGAAAAAGCCGCTGATCCCATGGAAAGCATCGTGGGGCGGGCGCCCGGCAGCTTTGCGCTCCCCCTGAGCTCTTTGTGCCGCACACATTAGGATCTAAATCCCGGATTAGCGCTGGAAGCTGCTGCATTAGCCGAGCTCTGGGAGCCGGGATTTGCCTTCGTGGCGGGGCGGCTTCCTTGCCCTGAAGGATCCCAAAGCGAAATGTGGGAAACGTGGGGCCTGGAAGGGAGGAAAGGAGCCCGCCCGGGCCGGGAGGCAGATGGAAGCTGTAGGCAGCTCCAGCGCAGCCTGCCCACAGAGCGGCCTCAGATGGAGCCGTCCCTCCCGCTCCTCTCCGAGGGAACAGATGAGTCACGGCAGCACCGAGCGCTGTGAGGGCTGCCCGCACAGCGCTGCCATCCCCGGGCTGGAAGCAGATGATGTGCGCGGTTTCTGGGGGACTAGAGGAAAGGGGGAGCTTCAGGGGGGCTGCATCAGGATGCCAGCCCCCTGTGCCAGGCCTGCTCCGTGAAAATACGTGCCCCAGAGGGTGGTGGAGGCCTGGCTGGGGTGTCCCAGCCATCACAGGGATCTGGTCTTTAAAACACAGCTTCCACGTGTGGAAAGACCCCTGGCAAAGGGCCGAGGGAGCCCTCACGTCTGCAGAACCCCCCCAATTCCCAGAGGGGATCTGAGCCTTGGGTGTCCTCAGTCAGGGGCTTGCCGTGAGGGAAAAGCCCGAACTACTGAAGTCCAAACTGAGGTTTGAATTTCTCTAGGGATGGAGATCCCTCAGCCTTCCTGGGGCCTGTCCCAAGCGCTGAGAGCCCTTGGGAGGGAGGAGTCATCCCCAACATACCGTGGCTGAGGGGCACAGGGGCTGGTGGTGTTTCAGAAACCTTCATTTCCACACAACCCTGAGCAGGCTCAGCTTTCCTTTGCCGTGGCGCCGTCCCCGTGCGTAACGTCTCCATGAAAAATAACTGCAGTTTGAGGAAAGACTGAATCTTTGGTGGGGAGCCTACCACAAACAGCAAATGGTGAACGTGCCGAAGCAACAGGTCGTGGTGGTGGTGACCACCCATCGTCTCCTAACCAAGAGCAATGCAGGAAGGAAGAGTCGGGGCGTTCTTGGCCAGGAAGGCTCCCAGATGGTGAAGGGGATTAGCTCCACCTCCTCTCTTCCGTTTCAGGAAGCCTTTTTGCAGGGAAAGCCTTGCTGCTGGCACAGTCGCTGGGAGCAGCGCTGCAGGCAGCTCCAAAAAGGCCTCTCGGGAACGAAGGGCTGTGTCTGTAGGGCTTGGCTTTGCCTCGGTGTCGGCAAGAACTGTAATGCTGCACCACTGCAAGATGTGGAGGCCTTTCCTTTCTCCCCTCGATAGGGTTGTTTTTCTTTTTTTTGCCCTTCCTTACTACCCTGGGTAATACCAGCAATCAAGGTGCATGAAAGGCCATCAACCAGTGCCACCACTGTGGGACATTTTATCCTCGAAGCTGGTCCCACAGCCCCGTGGGGACACAGCCAGGGGGTGTGGGCCTTTTGGGAGGGTCCGTGAGTTCTGCCGTCCTGTGACCAAGACAGCCTGGTGCATACAGAGGGGATTTTTCACCCCCCAGATCATTCGGTCTCTCTGGGTCAGCAGCCACGCCGTAGTTGGAGGTAGTGAAGGTAGGAGAGAAGTAAAGGAAAGAGTATTAAGAGTGGGCTGTGTTGATGGAGATCCTCTTTTACTGCCCTCCTAGGGGAAAAAGCAGTTATGTATGTGGAGAGGGAAGGCACGTTGCCAGAGGAAATGGCTAGGAAGAGCTTTTGGAGGGATGAGGTGGGTGAGGGGGGACCCCTGAGACAGACAGACCCCGCAGAGCCAGCTGTGCCTGGGTCTGTCTGCTGGGGGAGACGTGCTCCAGGACTGTCCCTTTGTCCCTTTCCTGGCCAGGCAGTGCATTTGGACCTTTTCCTTCCCCTGCTGGTGCTGTCTGCCTGGCTGTGTTGGGGTGCGAGGAGCCAGGCGAAGCAGAGCAGGCTGGGGAAAAGCAGGTCCCGGCAGGCGGGCAGGGAGAAGGGGCCCTTGGCAGCTCGGAGGCAACCCCAGGATTTCCCAACGCGTTTATTGGCGTTTGCAAGGTGGCTCTGCGAGGTGGGACAGAGCAGAGCCAAGGCGCTGGCTCCTTCCTCCCGGGCTACAAACACCAGACCCACGTGCGTGGTGTGAAGGAGCCCGTGGCCAGGATGCTCCAGCCGAGCTGTGCAACCTTTTTGCAGGGTTCGAAGCGAGTCCTGAGGTCGAATGAATACGTCCTCCCACCTGGCGGCCTGATGGAGACCGAGCTGGAGCTGACCTTCTCGCTGCAGGTACCTCGCCCGGCCCCCTGGGTGCTCCCCTCGCACAGAATTTCTCAGCAGGAATGGTTTTGGGGCTCGCTGGGATGGGGGCAGCCTCTGAGGAGGGGCTGCCTACGCTCTGATCACAGCACAGGCTCATGCTGCTGGCCTGCTGCTCCGGGGTTTCAGGGGCAGTGGGGATTTGGGGGATGACGCAGAGCGCGGGTGGCTTTTGAGGGGCACCCTAAAGGTGAGCAGGGCAGCCCCTGCTGTATGCCAGCACCGAGGAGGAGCTCCCCACCTCCCCGTGGGCCATCCCCAGCCCTGCCCTCACGCTGCCTTCCCTCCCCCCCAGTACCCACACTTTCTGAAGAGGGACGGCAACAAGCTGCAGATCATGCTGCAGCGCAGGAAGAGGTACAAGAACCGCACCATCCTGGGCTACAAGACCCTCGCGGTGGGCATCATTAACATGGCCGAGGTACGGGGTGCTGGGCACGGAGCAGGGAGCTTGGCACCACCAGTGCCAGCGCTGGGGAGGGAGCTCGGTGCCACGAGCACACCCACATTTGTCTGCCTGCCCAGGTGATGCAGCACCCGACGGACGGAGGGCAGCTCCTGAGCCTCCACAGCAACATGAAGGACGTAAACATCCGGGTGGCCGAAATCAGCATCTACTCCTTGTCCAGTCAGCCCATCGACCACGAGGATGGGAGCGTCCCCTCGGGTCCTAAAATCAAGGCTTCAGGTGTGTTTGCGTTCACCCGCGGACCTTAAAGGCAAGCGTTTGGGGTGGGGCGTGGGGAACTGAGCGCATCCCCAAGCGTCTGCCAGCAATACTGAGCATGTCGGGGCCTTGACAGATGTCTCGCTCAGCTGTGGCATCTGCAGTGTCTGCTTTCAGATCGCTCCCCAGACATCGATAACTACTCTGAAGAGGAGGATGACAGCTTCTCCTCGGAGCAGGAGGCCAGTGATGATGCTGTTCAGGGCCAGGTAAGGGAGGGGTCTGCCAGGGCGGCTTCCATCCCAGTCCCATCTCTCAGGCAAGGATCAGATGTTGAGGGTCTGCACCGCCCCAAGCTCTCCCATCTCCCTTGCAAACATTTGTCGTGGTTTCAGAGGGCAGAGAGCCACAAAACCTGGCAGCAGGAAGGACCTTGGTGCACGAGGTACTTGGATGAGCCATAGGTCCCACCGTTGTGTCCCAGGAGCTGTCTGGTCTGCAGCACAAAGCCCTGCTGAGCCCCTTGCACCACGGATGATATCCCTTCTCCCTGTGATAAGGATAGGGGAGATCTCAGGAGAGGGGAGATCAGGAGAACAGCACGTGGGTCGTGGGGAGGCTGAGGAAAGAGGTTTAGGTTGCAACACGGACACTGCAGAAGGCTGCTGTTCCTCCTCTGCACCTTGCTGGCACGTTGTCCCCCTGGAAAGTGAGGAGCAAGCCCCTGGGAGAGGGGGCCAAAGCTTTTCAAAGTGGGAGCTCCCTGCAGCACCCGGGTTGGTCTGACATGCTGTGGCCTCTTGCCCGCAGGATCTGTTTGACGAAGAGGACGACTTGAGGAAAACCAAGAAGGCCAGGAGGAAAATGATCCGAACCACCTCAATGACCAGAGTAACACCTGCGTTTCCAATGTGATCAAAGGGATGGAAGGGACTCAACTTCCTCCCCTCCCTGCAGAGTGGGGCTGGATTTTTGGGTTGGGGGAGATGCTGGCAGTGGTGCAGAGCAGGTGATGGAGCCCTTGGCTCTGAGCAGAATGGGAAAACCTCCTGCCTTCACTGGATTAGCGTGCTGGCCAGAGCCATACCCCGGCTCGTGGCCTGTGCCATGTTTAGCCTGGCTTTGTGCAGCTGATCTGTGGGTAATGGTTCTGTCGCTGCTGTGACACCATCTCTGCTCCTTCACTCCCCCAGGAGGGGGAAGGCTGGCACGAGGAGGGCTGTTGGCAGCTCTTCTGCCACTCAGCAGAAGGGGGGAGCTGCTCCCCGAGCATCTGCTTGTCCCTGTCAGGTCCCTGGGTTTGTTCCCCATCTTCTCTTGATTGGAGGCAAACTTTCTCCTTGAGTTTGTTCCCCATCTTTTCTCAATTGAAGGCAGCATTCCTCAAACGGGTGTTCTGGGAGACAGGGGGGTTAAATGGAGAGAAAGTGCTCTTCCAGCCTGGAGCAGTCATAGTCCCTGCACCATCCCTCATGCCCCAATGCGGCAGCTTCTCATGGAATCCAGATTTAATCCAAATCCTACTGCAAATTTAAGGATCAAGGTAGATCCTAGCCTGTGGACCCAGAAAGGAGCTGTGAAAGAGAGCAACTGCGGGCTGTGCATTTGTCATCTCAGAACCTGCTTGGATAGTTTTGCTGACCGTTTTTTTCTCCCCTTGTTTTGTTTCAGCAACCCAACTTCAAGCAGAAATTCGTGGCTTTGCTGAAGAGGTTTAAAGTGACAGAGGAGGTAAGGAGCAGGAAGGCTGCCCCACCTGGCAGTGGCTCCTCACAGATGTGTCGGTGTCAGGGTGCTGGTTCCTGCTAACTGGGAGCCCGAGCCTGAGCTGCAGGTGCTCAGGGCTGTTCCCAAAGCGTGTGTGAGGCACGGCACAGGCTGGGGCTTGGCCTTTTCAAAGCCTTCTGCCTCAAAAAGGCAACTCTGAGCTTCATGCTCCAATCAAAAACACCTTCCCAAAAAGCCTGTTGGGGGGATGTCATGCTTGTGACAACCTCCTTTGGCCCAGTGACAATCCCACCTGGCCTGCGATGCCGATGACTCCCTAACTCTTTGTTGCCCTCTGGCTTTGCCCCACAGGTCCTGGACTCTGACCCCGTTGACCAGACCCAGGAGGTGGAGGAAGACCTGGGCTTGCTCTATGACAGCCTGGAGGAGTGCAACAACAGCGACAGCGGCCCAGAGATCGAGGACAACGAGAGCGTGCACAGTACGCCCAAGCCGACCCTGAGGTGAGGATTGCAGGAGGCCGCAGGCCACCAGCACCGTCCCTGGGACCTGGAGAAATGCCCCCAACACTTCTCTGTTGCTTGGCCTAACGTAGGCATTGCCCCCTCTCCTTTCCCACTGCCATCTTCTGTTGGCACAGCTGAGATCCTCACTTGCGTATCCTGATTAAAAAAAACCCTCAAAGCTGCCCATTAAAACCGGGTTCCCCCATACTGACTCTCATTTGATTTGCTCCCAGTCCAGCACCTGACACTATTCCTGAAGCACCTCCTTGATCTCAGCCCCTGCTGGCGCTAGCTCTCACACCTTCCTGCTGCCACTCCTGGCCTTCTCAGGCTTTCCACCCCGAAGCACGCCTGTCTTTTGAGCACGTTGTCTCGAGACTGCTAGGGCCAGTCCCCGTGTCCCCGTGGGATCTGCATGTAGTGCTCCCACCCCTCGTGGAGGTGTATGGCTTTTTTTTTTTCATTCACCTGGCCTCTCTGCTCGTGGCTGTTCTGTTTCTGTGCTGTCCTTTCGTGAGGCAGCTGCCTTCTGCTGCCTTCCTGCTTGGCTGCCTCACGGTGCCCTGAATCTCTTCTAGGTGAGAAGAGACCAAGCTGGGATGAGTTGTCATTATTGTCTCTAGAGTTAATTACTTGATTTGGATTAGTTTGTATCCCTGGTGAAGGTGCTCAGCAGGGGCAGCAGACTCAGTCCACCCCAGGCAAAATGCTTGAAAGGAGAACTGCTGGATTCAGGGACTGCTTCGGGGCACGGGAAGGAGCCAGGAACAGGACTGCAGTCACATCTCCCCCAGATCCACAAGTTGTTGGGGAGGAGACAGCAGCGTGTGGGCACGGGGGAGCTGCTGAGGTGGTCTGCTCAGAGCTCCTGAAAGAGTTTCATGCCACCGCTCACCGCAGGCTTTAAAGAAACAGAGGTGCTGGGGGAGAAAAAGGATGGAGGTCTTGATCTCCTTGCATTCCCCTGGGCTGTGGGGTCCCAGTGCAGAGCATTCTCACCCTGGTTGCCTCAGGAAGCTGGTGGTGACCTTCCAACCCAGCCTGTAAATTCAAGAGGTGCTCCTCGTGTTGGGTTTGATTTTTTTTTTTGGTCATAGGCAGCCTTGCTAGACACCACAAAGCCTGGGTCTGGAGGTCAGAGGGGAAGGAGCAAAATTCTCCTTGGGTGGCTGAGAATATGGACAGCAGGGAAGGGGGCTACGCAAAGGGACTGGGATTTACCTAAATCCGAACCCGCTGAGACTCTGACTCAGTCACACCTGGAGGAGAGAGCCTTTAAATTGCAAAGCAGGAGAGCTGAGAGCTGCGGGAGAGCTCTGTGCTCGGCGTGACACATCCCCTAGTGACGAAAGCTTCTGGATGGCAAGAGAGAGAGGGCAGAAACAGGCACAGCTTCCATGTGGCGGGGGGGAGGCAGCCCCATTTGAAGGGGGCGTTGAAAGCCACAATTCACACCCAAATGTACACAATTTGGGTGAATCCAGTGTCTAAGGGCTGAGGACACTTTTCGAGGTGCCAGCCAGGGGTATGCCATATCAGGTAGGATTACAGGGACAGTACAAAGGAGAGGAGCTGGCCGGGGGCTGTATTTTTAGAAAGCTTATCATGTTTCTCTGGTTTGACTCTGAAGGTTTTAATATGGTCTGTCTGGGCGGATTGAGATTGTTGGCTGAGAAAAGGCAAGTGCAGAGCCACGGCTGTGCAGGGTGGTGACGGTGCCTGAGGTCCTGTCCTGGAGACTGGAGGGGTGGAGAGAGCAGAAATGTGCTATTAACAGGAGGCATCAGCTATCCCCGTGTGACCTGGGGAAAATATCTCATCGGGCACAAGATGAGATCAAATCTGTGGCTTTTGTGAATGACCGTGTGGTGAAGCAGCTGGGCATGGAGCTAGCGAGGGGGAAACTGAGCCGTGAGTTCTCCGGGCAGCCTGTAAATGCTGCTGCTCTGTGCTGGGACCATCACTTACCGAGATGCAACGTCCCTGCAGGAGCAGTAAAAGCAGAGCACCCGACGCCGTCGTGCCTGTAGGCAAATGAGGAAGTCAAGAAAAGGAAAGTGCAGGGGGCAGCCAGGGCATTCAGAAGCCCGTGGGCATCCCGCAGGAAGCTGCAGGTGAATCCAGATGAGGATAACAGGGGAAAATCTGGCAGAGTGCTTACAGAGCAGCTCCGTGTCCTGTGCCTCTGGTCATCCCTGCAACCCAGCAGGCCAGATCAAGAGAAGGTTTTGCTGGGAGTGAGCACAGACAGACAGACAGACAGACAGCTCCGGGGGAAGTTGCCTCACTTCTCTAAGGGGAAGCTGCACGGTGCGGGCGGGCTGCCTGCCTGCAAGGGAGAGCTGGGGGGGGACCCAGCGGTGTAGCCTGCTGGTTTCCCCAAGGCTTCTGTGGTCTCTGAGCAGCCCACAGGCCGTGCAGGGGTCCTTGATGAATAATTGATGGGTGGAAAGAGGGGAGACGAAGGTGGGAGCGGGCAGCCCTCGCTGTGCTGGCAGAGACCACCCTGTTCCCAAGTCACTTGGAGTGGCACCGCAGCACGTTTGGGTTGTGGTGTTGGCAGAGACCCCGCACCTAGCTGGGTGGAGACCCCCCTGCCTCGCTGGGGCTGCCTTTCTGCACCCTGCCGTGGCAGGGGATCACCGGAGGGGGAAGCAGCTGCTGGTAGGAGGCAGAGACCTGCCTCTGATTCCCCAGGGTCGCAGGTTTCAGCCTGCTGGGGCACGAGGCCACATGGGCGTCCACCCCCCGCGTCCCGCCGGGGACCTCTCCACGGTGCTCTGTGCTGCTTGGGACAGGCCGGCGGGGGTGCGCTGGGGTCGTGGTGACTTTTGTTCCTCTCTTATTCCTGCCTTTTTTTTTTTTTTTTTTTTTTTCTCTCCCGTCTGTCTGTCCGTCCGTCCGTCTGTCTGTTTCTCTGCAGGCGTTTCTTTGAGGGAGTCTCTCATTCTGGTTCCCAGACTGAGATCGGCAGTCTGCACAGCCAGAAAGGGCAGGATCAAGAGTCGGGCAGCCCTGTGAGTTACACCACCACCACCACCACCTCCCGTCCCCTGCCCTCCCCGGCCAGCCCAGCACCCCCCTCAGCGCCCGCAGCTCCCTCTGAGACCAAACCCGGGGCTGCTCCTTCCCTTCTTTCCTCTTCTTTCTCCCAGTGCCAGCAGACAGGCAAGGCAGGGGGGCGTCCTCTGGGGCCGGTCCCAGCGGGATGCCGGGCTCCCCGGTGGGAGCAAACGTGCTGCGAGGCCGGGCCAGGTCCCGCTGCGGGCATGGGGCACCGGCAGCCGCCCCGCACGGGGCGCTCCGTCCTGCCCTAACCCCGCTCCCTGTCCCCAGGGCGAGGTGGAGAAGAGGAAGCCGGGAGCTCCACGAGTGCAGGAGGAGCCAGGAGCAGAGGTCCCCGCAGTGGTGAGTCCAGGCTATGGGACATGGAGCAGGGATGGAGCTCCCTCGGTCCCTGGGATGGGCAGAGGGGGCTGGAGAACAGCAGGGCTGGAAGGAGGGTCAGGAGATGGGGCTGCAGGAGGTCTTCAGCTCTGCTGTAGGGCCGCCAGGGCACAGGGAGGAGGTTGGGGAGCCCCAACGGGACTGTGTGTTTCCCTCAGGAGCTGGCCGCAGAGGAGCCGAGCCCCCGGCTGGCCCCCACAGAGGCTGCCACGAGGGAGGGCAGCGTGGACAGGCTGGCCCAGCTGGGCCCCGGGACCAAAGCTGAGCTTCCCAGTGCCGTGTCGCCCAGGTAAGGCAGCTCCGAGCCCCCTGGCAGAGCTGGGAAGGCTCAGCGATGGCTCACCGGGGTGAGGGGGGGCTGGAGGAGGTGGGATTTCCCCCCACGCAGCCTCACCTCTCCCGCTTCTGGCTCGCAGCAAGGCGGACAGCAAGCAGCTGTGGCGTCCCCGCAGCACCTCCGTGAAGGACAGGCAGAGCTCCAAGGGCCAGGGCGGCCGCACCAGCAGCCTGGACAGCGAGAGCTCTCCCGACTCGTGGCACAGCACCCAGGTGAGGGTCCTGGAAAGGCCTCCTCAGCTGGAGGGCTCTCCCTGCTGGGCCCTCTGAGGCCAGCAGGTCGGCTGGGGCAGCCTGCAGAGCCTAACCTTGGTGGGGACGCTGTCGTAGGTGCCCCGAAAATCAGTTTACGATCAGCTGAACCAGATCCTGGTCTCCGACGAGCATCTCCCAGAGAGCATCGTGCTGGTGAATGTCGCCGAGTGGCAGGGGCAGGTGAGTAGCTGCCAAGGGATGGCCCTTCCTGGGGGACACGGTGCGTTTGCAGAGCTGAGCTGCGTGCACTCAGTCTGTCTGTCCGTCTCCTCCATGGCTGCTGGATCCTCAAAGCACAATGCCCGGAGCAGTCCCAGGGGGGATGGCTGACCGGCTGCGTGCCTCACGCTGCTTGGTACTGCTCAGAGCTTCGCTGGGTGCTGCAGCAGAGGTGCTGCACTCCCCCTGCTGGCTCCAGGCCCCGGGGAGCAGTAGAGGCACTTTTCCTGCTTAGAGATGAGAGGGCCTGCTGGAAAATCCATGCTTGGGGCAGGAGAAAAGCTCCTCGGGGAGAGTCTTTCCCCAGGCTGCACATCCTTGGTGTGTTCCTGCTCTAGCTCTCATGCTAACAGGGGCAAAAGGAGTGGTGTCTGTTCCCAGATCCTGATGTGGGCACTTCTAAGCCCCCCAGCCTAGCACAGCAGCGCTGTTCAGCTGCGTGCAGACACCTGAAGAGGCACAGAAGGATTTTGGAGTGTCATAGGAGGGAGCCAGAGAAGGGAACGAACAAAGGAGGGCCCTGCTGTGGGATGGCAGGGCTCAATCAGAGGGTCCCTTGATCTCAACCCCTTTATCTCAAGGAGCACAGCCTGGTTCCTGGGACAGCTGTGCCCTTGTCACTGCAGGCTGGTGAACGCTGAGCTCAGCGCAGGGGCTGGGAGGAGTGGGGACACTCGGGCAAGCAGCCAGGGCTGTCTGGGCGGTGTCAGTGTGTGGGGCAGGCACCCGCGGCGTGGCTTCACCCCGTGCTCTCTCCCTTGGCAGTACGTGAGCGAGCAGCTCCTGGCGCACAAGCAGCTGGTCGTGTCCACCTGCTCGGTGGCAGACATCCAGGCGGCCTTCAACACCACCGTCTCCCGCATCCAGCGATAGTGAGTGCAGCTCGGGCGCCGTCCTGCCGCTGCTGGGGAGGGCACTGGTTCCCCCCCGGGGCTCACCGGGATGCCGTGGCAGCAGCAGGGCTCTGATGCTGGGCTTGGCTGGCCTGGCGGGGCCACCTGCTGAGCCACCGAGGGTCCATGGTGGTCTTTGTGTCCCTCCGGCAGCTGTAACTGCAACTCCCACATGCCTCCCCCGGTGAAGGTGGTTGTGGCAGGGGACCAGAGCTACCTGAGCGTGGTCCTGCGCTTCTTCGTGGAGCAACTGGCCAGCAAGACCCCCGACTGGCTCAACTACCTGCGGTTCCTGCTGGTGCCACTGGGTGAGAGCCACGGCGAGCCTGCCTTGTCCTCCCCCACCTCCCCAGCCCCTTCCCCTGCCTGCAGCCAGCACCCCCCGTGTCTCCCGCAGGCTCCCACCCCCTCGCCAAGTACCTGGCCTCGGTGGATAACAAGTACAGCACGCTCTTCCTGGACACGGCGTGGCGGGAGCTGTTCAGCAGGGCTGAGCCGCCCGCTGCAGGTGAGGAACGGGGCCCGACGGGGCCGGCAGCACCCCCAAAAAGCAATCCCAGCCACCTTCGGGGCCTCTCACCGCTCCCTGTGCCCGCAGACACCGTGGACATCGCCGGCCGCGTCACCCAGTTCATCGCCGGGGCCAGCCTCTCCCACCAGCTCCCCATCTCCGAGGCCATGCTGACCTACAAGCAGAAGAGGTGAGCGCAGCCCGGGGTGGCCTTCCCTGCCTGCTGGGCACACGGGGAGATGGGGGACGAGCTGAGTGAGGCCCCACGCTGCCCCCCCTGCCCCTCCCCGGCGGGGACGGACGGACGGACGGACGGACTGGGCTGGGCTGGGCTGGGGGCTGCGAGCCAGCAGCGTGCTGCCCCCGGGGGGGTTGACGCTCGTGTTCCGGCTGCACTCTCACCTCTCCCTTCTCTTGGTTTCTGGCACCCAAGGAAGAGAAGTCTCTATTTTGATTTTTATATCAGGTATTGGCTCGTGCTTGCTGTGCCGCTGCCTGGCCCGCCCTCCTTCCCTCCCTCCCCACCCCATGTGCGTCCGTCCCGTCCCGTCCCGTCCCTCTTGCCAGTGCAGAGGAGCCGCGGCCCCCAGAGCGGGGCAGGGCTGCCCTCCCTGCATGCCAGCCCTCTCCCGGCACCGCAGGGGCCGACTCCTCGCCTCCTCGTGTAGTGTGCCCTGCGCTGCCACGGCGGGGACAGGGTGGCCCAGGGGAGGGAGGGCAGAGAAGAGGGGCCCGGCGGCCAGGAGCCAGCTCCCTTTGGCCCTTTGACAGCGCGAGGGTCCCCGAGCCGCGAGGCTGGCCGGCCCCTGAGCAGCTTTTTCTTCCTTGCACAGCCCCGATGAGGACTCCTGCCAGAAGTTTGTGCCCTTCGTGGGGGTGAGTGTGATGGGCTGGGGGCAGAGGGGCAGTGCGTGGTGCTGGTGGGGCTCGTCTCACCCCTCTCTCCTCGCAGGTGGTGAAGGTGGGCCTGGTGGAGCAGTCCTTCAGCGCCTCCGGTGAGTCCCTGGAGCCCCTTCCTCATCCTGGGGAGCTCCTCGGTGCTGTCCCCCAGCCCCCCTGACCCCCACTTTCCCTCCCCAGTGGATTCGGATGATGCCACAGCCTGCGCTCCCTCGCTGCTGAGCTCAACGCCAACCGCCAGCGGAGCAGCCCCCTACGGCAAGGAGACCGTGAGCACCCCGCCGCCCTCCCCGTCGGTCAGCAGCGGGCTCTCAGGGGCCGGGTAAGGAAGGGACACGAGGGTTTGGGGTGCTCCCAAGCCAGGCTGCCAGGTCCCGGGGCTGGCTGCAGCTGGGTTAATGGCTGCTCCCCTCTTGGCCAGGTCTCTGAGCCCCGGCGTGGAGGTGATGGGCCTGCAGGTGGACTACTGGACGACCCAGGGGCTGGAGAGGAAGAAGGAGGGCGAGAAGAGGGAGACGGGCATCAAGAACACACTCAAGAGCAATTTCCGCTCGCTCCAGGTCAGCCGCATCCCCGGCGTCGGGGAGCTGGTGCCGCCCAGCACCATGGCCATGACCGTGGTCACCAAGGAGAAGAACAAGAAAGGTAAATCCTCATCCTTCTCCTGTTTTTTGGGGTACAACCAGTTGAAAAAAAGGGCAGGGGGGAGCCTGCGGGAGGACAGAGCTGGGAGCTGGCGGGGCAGGAACCAGGCGGTGAAGGCAGCCCTGGGGAGAAGGGTCCCACCCCGGGCCAGGTGGGGATGTCCTGATGGTGATTTCGTCTGGCCACGGCCCCCCAGTGATGTTCCTGAGCAAGAAACCCAAGGAGAAGGACCTGGAGCCCAAGAGCCAAGTCATCGAGGGGATCACACGCCTCATCTGCACGGCCAAGCACCAGAACACCATGTTGCGAGGTGAGGAGGGGGCGCCAGCCCCACGGGGCTGCAGGCACCCGAGCAGGGGGCCGGGGCTGCACCTCACCGCCCCCCCCTCTGCCCTCAGTGTCCATAGATGGGGTGGAGTGGAACGACGTGAAGTTTTTCCAGCTGGCAGCGCAGTGGCCAACGCATGTCAAGTACCTCCCCGTGGGCATCTTCGGCTACTCCAAGGGCGTGTGAGAGGCGCTGCGGAGGGGCACGGGAGCCCCCACTCCACGGCCCAACCCCCTCCAGCTCTGCAGAGGGCCCTCCACACCCGCACCGAGGCCGGCTCCACGCATCCTCCGACACCAGCCAGGGCACCGCGCCATCCGCCTCCCCTCACCCCCAACGGCAGCCTGGGACAAGGGGACCCTGGGGGGGTTCTCCGGGCCCCCCTTTTCCCCGCTGCGGCCGCCGGGGCCCCAGCTGGGCTGGGCCCGGGCAGCTCCCCAGCGCCGGAGCCACAGCAGGGGCTGCTCAGCAGGGCCCCCTGCCCTCCCTGGCCCTGCCTCAGCCACACTCCTCATCCCCCCGCTGCCACGGCCGGCGAGGTGAAGCCGAAGACGTGCCCGGGCTGCCGGGGGGGTCACCCTCATGTCCACATCCTCCCCCCCTCCAACCAGCCCTGTCCCCAGGGTGCTGCCAGCTGGAGGCGCAGCCTGGGGGCAGCTGGGATTTTTTTTTACAAGATTCTATTTTTTTTAAATTTATTGTACGGTTACTTTTCGGGATTAATTTTAATAAATTAATGCTGGTACCATTATGGCGGTGGCAGTGTGGCTCCCTCCGTGCCCGAGGCCACCAGCACCTCTCCAGCAAGCAGGGCCACCACGGGGAGGTGGAAAACAAAAGCATAACCCCACCACGCCACCCTAGGGACCAGGTGCAGCTCTCAGACACATCAGCCGATGGGATTGGGAGCAGCTGGGCTTCTTTATTCAAAATTAAAGTCCTCAGGAAGGGCTGGGCCAGCAGGACACAGGCTACGCCCAGCCCGCTCCTTTTCTACCTGAAGGTGGAGAAAGTCTGTCTCCTCTCAGCAGCCGCGGGGCTCGGGGCTGTCTTGATCTCCACAGTCTGGAAGGCAACGGGGGGCTGTGCCTGCGAGCCAGGGGGCTCTGGGGACTCATCAGGGACGTACTCCAGGACGTGGGGCCTCTCCTCCTGGCGCCGCAGGTAGCCCTGGTTCAGCAGGTGCAGCACGCAGGACAGCACGTCCACGCTGTGGCAGCAGAAGCTCGGGAACTGCAGCCCCGGCCCCAGCTCGCCCTTCTGGCAGGCAGCGAGCACCTACAGCAGCGAGGGAGCCGCCAGCTGCAGGGCAGCGCCCGGCACGGCCCCCGGGCAGCCCCTCGCCGCCCCCCGCCTGCAGCCTCCCTACCCTGAACACCAGGTTGTCGATGTGCAGCCGCTTCTCCGCCTTGAGGATGCGGCTGAGGAGGCAGCAGAGGACGTTCCTCTTCCTCTCCAGGGCGCCGCTCTCAGCCCTCTCTGCCCGCAGGTACCTCTGCCGGGGCAGCAGCCTCAGCTGGCGGCCGGAGGCTTGGGCCAGGGCCGCCCGGTTCAGCCGCAGGGCACCTGGAGCTAGCACCCGGCCCACGGTCAGCCGGGCCCCGAGCTGCTCCCTGCAGGAGCCCCAGGGACCGCTGCCGTCACCCCGAGCCCGGCCCCACCGCCCGCGTGCCCACGAGCCCCCAGCCCCACACACGCACCCACCCCAAAGCCCGGCCCCAACCTCGCCCCGGGACTCAGCCCCAGCAGCCAGACTCCCCCCGAGCCCTTCCACATCCCCCCGAGCCCCCCCGCATCCCCCCGAGCCCCTCCACCCCCCCCAGTACTCCCCCAGCACCCCCGAGGGTGCCTGGCCCCATGCTCACCCCCCGGCGCGCAGCTCCGCAGCAGGACAGCCTCGCCCTCGCCCTCGGTCAGCGGTGCCAGCGCCTGCTGCAGCAGCTCCGCAGGGAGCCCCGTGGCCTGCAGCAGGGACTCCACAGCCACCTCCTGCGGGAGGGCAGCGGCCGGACGAGGACCTCAGTGCCCGGAGACCCCCGGCAGGGAGGCACGGCCCCACTTGGCCCCGGCTCCTACCTCGGCGCCGTTGAAGCGCAGCAGGACGAACATCTGCAGCGTGGACACGTGCAGGACGCAGTCTCCGAAGCGCAGCTCGGCACGGCCCAGCCACGTCCACTGCAGCCCCCGCGGCCTCGCGCCCGCCCAGCTCTGGCCTGCCGGGGGACACCAGCGCCAGTGCCAGGGCCGGGCAGCGCTACCGGGCAGCCCCCAGCCCCAGCGGCCCCAGTGCCGGGCACCCCGTGGCACTCACTCTGCCCGCAGAAGGCGGCGAAGGCGCCCAGCGGGGAGCTCAGCGCGGCCGGGAAGAAGCGCCCGGGCTCGGCCATGCGGCACAGCGGGGACACGGGCCAGCAGCGTGGGGACAGGGCCAGCACCGTCACCTCCGGAGCCTCCCCCGGCGCCTGGGTGCAAGGACACGGGGGCAGCTCAGGGCCCCGCGGGGAGCACTTGGCCCCCAGCCGGCCCCGCTGCCCCGCTCACCTCGTGCTCGGGGCTCTCCGCGCCCGGCTCCAGCAGCCGCTTGTCCCGCTCCTGCAGCTGGAAGAGGCGGAACTGCCGCTGCAGCTCCTCCGACTCGGCCAGGTCGCTCAGCATCTGCTGGGGGAAGCGGCGGGGGAAGCACAGCCCCAGCTGCTCCAGGACGGCCCCTTCCAGCCACGAGGGGCCCTGCGCCAGGAGCCGGTCCCCCAGGTACAGCCTGCCACAGCCACCGGCGCGCGTCAGGGCCGCCGCCACCATCACCACCCAGCCCGGCCTCGTCCCCAGCGCGTGGGCACGGCCACCTCACCGGTAGAAGTGCTCGAAGGTGTGGGCGAACTCCAGGCCGCTGAAGACGACGAAGGGCTCCAGCAGCTGCTGCAGCAGCCCCGTGCTGCCCGCGGCCCCGCCGAGCTCCTGGATCTTCCCGTCCAGGTAGCGGGCGAAGCGCTCGCTGGCCTGCGGGGGGACGGGGACGGGTGTGCGGGGCGCCCGAGCTGGGTGTGCGGGGCGCCCCACGGCCCCGGGGTGGCCAGGACGTGGCCACCCTGTAGCTCGCCCAAGGCCCTGGTGCTGGAGCCACCCCACCCGGACTCACGTGCAGGGCGGTGAGGAAGGGGAGCTGCAGCAGCGCCCCCGCGAAGCCCTGGCCCAGGGCGCCCAGGAAGGCAGCCTGCTGCCCGAAGAGCTCCTCCGTGGCGCCGCGCAGGCGCCGGTACAGCCCGCAGTACCGCTCCGCCACGTCTGGCGCCTGCCCCGCCGCCTGCAGGAACCGCTGCGCCTGGGGGCACGGCACCGCCGGGCTCAGCACCCAGCCCCGGCCCCCTGCCCCTCGCCCCCAGCCCCAGCCCCAGCCCTACCTGCTGCTGCACCACGCTGCTCCAGCACTGCGCCATGCCCCGCAGCCCGCTCGGCGTCTGCGCCACCGCCCTGGGCAGCGCCTCCTTGTTCCTGCCCTCCTGCCCGCCTGCCAGGCACAGCCGGGGCTCAGCGTGGCCCCGCACGTGGAGTGGCAGCAGCACGGCCACGGGGAGGCTCGGCCACGAGCCCTCCTGTGCCCCAGGGCCCTCTGCAGGGCTCCCCACGGCTGCAGCCCAGGGCTCATGGCCCTTCCGAGGGCAGCCCCTCGCTCACCCGCCGCCCTCGCCTCCTCCGGCTCGGCGCCGCCGGGGTCCACGTGCACCAGGAGCTGGGTCAGGAGCCGCACGCAGGAGCCGAAGGTGTCGCCGCGGGCCGGGGGGCGCGGGGCCGGCTCCCCGCTCCCCAGGTACTCGCTCAGCAGCCAGGCCAGGGGGCTGACGCCGCTGGGGTCTGCGGGGCCGCAGGGCTCAGGGCGGGCGCCCGGGGACGGGGCAGCGCGGGGAGGGGCGCGAGCGGGTACCTGGGCTGGTGATGCTCTGCACCAGGGGGCTCACCAGGGCCTCCCAGCACGTCCTGCCCAAGGCCCGGGCCGCCTCGTCGTCGGGAAGGAAGCGCTCAGCGAAGTCCTGCTCGTGCCGCAGCGCCCGGTTCAGCCTGCAACGGCGAGAGGGGGGCAGGACGGGGCACGGGGCCGGCACCCCGGCAGGATGCCCCCAGCCACCCCAGGCCGCCCCCGGCCGCCCCAGGGCACCCCCGCTCCCGCGGCCCCTCACCTGCCGAAGAGCTGCAGCAGCCGCCCCCGGTCCCGGCGGATCTCCTGGCCCCAGGCGTGCGCCCGAGCGGCGCAGCAGAGGGAGGTCCGGCGGCACAGCTGCTCCTTGAAGACGGGCCAGAAGCTGGGCTTGGGCCCCAGCACCTCGATGCCGCGCACGCGCGTGTCGATGCCGCCCTGCGGGAGGGAGAGAAGGGAGAGAGCTCGGCCCCCAGCCCCTCGCCTGCAGCCCTGTGCCACCGGCCCCGGCTCCCCACCTGCTGGCAGCGCTTCACCCGGATCTGGATGAGGGGCCAGAAGCGCGGCGCGTTCCGCAGCAGCACCACCCGGCTGGCCGAGGGCGGCACGGTCACCTGCGGGCACACGGCGAGCCCTCAGCCAGCGGCATGGGGAGCGCCCGCGGCCCCACGCTGCCCCGGCCAGCCCCCGCTGCCAGCCCCCGGTGGCACTCACGGCGTTGAGCTCCGTCCTGATGGCCGCGGGGCTGTCCCCCCCCAGCACCACCACGCGGGCCGGCATGTAGCTCGAGTCCTCGCTGGCCACCAGCATGCTCAGCTCCCTGCGTGGGGTCCGTGAGGCAGGGCTCGGGCAGAGCCTCGGGGTCCCCTGCCCCCGGGCCCCCCGGCCCTACCTGACCACCACCCCGCACTGCATGTGCAGGGTGATGAAGTGGGAGCCGGTGCTGCCGTTGGACTCCCAGTAGGTCTTGGGGTTCCCGTCCGTGAGCTTGCCGGCGCGGTGCGGGTTGGAGGAGACCTGCACCTTCTCCCAGCACTTGTCCTCCTTCGCCTCCACGCTGGAGCCTGCGGGGAGGGCGCGCGGAGCCTCCAGCTGCCAGCCCAGGCACAGCGGGCGCCGGGGCCCCGCTCCCCACGCTCACCTCGGCACAGCTTGCGCAGGAAGACGTCGAAGAAGGGGATGCTGATGGGCCACTGGCTCCGGCGGTGCTCCTCGATCTGCCCCAGCGCCAGCTGCGGGACGGGCACGGGGACAGGGACGGGGACGGGGACGGGCGGTTACTGGGGGCAGGGCTCCCGGGGGGCTCCCCAGCTGCCCGGGCCCACCTGGATGCAGCCGGCCAAGATGCTGCCCGTCAGCGTCCTGTGCAGGCCGGCGACCTTCTCGCAGCCGCTCAGCAGCTGCAGCAGGGCTGGCGCCGTGGGCACGGCCGAGCTGTGCTTCTCCAGGGCTTTGGCCAGGGCCTCGTAGGTGCCCGCGCGGCACATGGCCACGGCGCAGTCCTTGCTGGCGGCGGCCAGGCGGTGCAGGAAGCCGACGACCTCCTGCACCGCCTGCGGAGGAGGCAGCCCTGAGCCGCCAGCCCGGCACCAGGAGCCCCCCAGCGCCGTGCCGCAGGGCTCCAGCCCCTCTCCAAAGGGACCAGGGCGGTGCTGGGCACGCAGCCACCGCGATGCGACCGTGAGGGCTGCTCCCGGGGCGTGCCACGAGGCACCCCCGGCACAGCCAGCAGAGCCCCTGCCCTCTCACCTCGCGGTCGCTGCTGTGGGCGCTCAGCAAGGACAAGCAGGGCTCCACGCACTCGTGCCAGGGCAGCGCGTCCTCCTGGAAGCCGTCCAGGAACTTGTTCAGGATCCTGAGCGAGGGACAGGGCCCCTCAGGACGCGGCACACAAAGGCAGCCCCGCTGCCCTGCTCCTGCTGAGCCCGCAGGGGCCACGTCCTGCAGGGTCCCTGCAGCCCCCCCAGCCCCACCTGAGGATCCGCAGCCCGATGCTCTTCTCGGCCCCCCGCAGCTCCAGGCTGCGCAGCAGCGCTCGGAAGCAGCGGCGCTCCTGCGGCCGCGGGGACGCCCGGCCGGAGGGCTCGGGGTCGGGATCGGGGCCTCCGCCGCAGAGCTGCCGCTCCAGGGCCACCACCACGTCCTCGGGCAGCGCGTCGTCCCCCGGGCCGCCCGCGGGCGTCTGCGCGTCCCTGGCCTCCAGCAGGGCCTCGGCACCTGTGGGACAGGGAGCGGGGACAGGGAGCGGGGACAGGGAGCGGGGACAGCACAGGCACCACGGCACGGGGAGGGGCGCGGGGTCGCTACCTGGGGTCTCGGGGCCCAGGGGCAGCCGGTGCTCCGCCAGGCGGTTGATGACGCCGAGGGCCAGCAGCGCGGTGGGGCCCTGCCCGTCCCGCCAGCAGCTCTGCAGCACCGCGGGGAGCTCGCCGCTCACCAGCTGCTCCGCCAGGCCCCGGTGCCCGTCCACCAGCATCCGCAGCACCAGCAAGCCGTTCCGCACGCCCGAGGCGCCCCTGCGGGGACGGGCACGACGTGGCGGCGCCCCGGCCCCATGGCACCCGCCCTCCCCGGTCCCGGTCCCCGTCCCTACCCTGGGACGCCCCGCATGGCGCGCACGGCGGCGGGGATGGCGCTCAGCAGGCCCGGCGAGCCCTCGCCGCCGGCGGAGCCGATGCTGGCGAAGACCTCCCGCAGCAGCTGCGCGTCGCCGTGGCTCAGGGCCGAGGGCGTCCCCGCGGCGCCTCCGGGCTCGCCGGCTCCCACCAGCGCCTTCAGGGCCTGCGGGGCCCGGGGCGGCTCAGGGGCTGCGGGCGCCTCCCCGGCCCGGCCCCGCCGCCCGCGGCGCCCCTCGGCCGCTCCTCACCGCCAGGCCCGCCTGCTGCACCAGGGCGGAGGCGGCGTGCTGCCGCATGCAGCCCAGCACGGCCCACACGCCGCCCTCCGTGGCGAAGGGCACGCGCCAGGCGCGCCTCTCCAGCAGCAGGGCCACCAGCCGCAGCGCCAGCGCCGCCGGGCGCTTCTCGGCCGCCTGGGCGCTCAGCAGCTCCACCGCCGCCCTCACCAGCTTCTCCCTGCGCGCAGAGGCCGCTCAGGAGGGGCTCGGCACCCTGCCCTCGGCCGCCCTGCCCTGCCCTGCCCGTGCCGGGCTCCCCTCGCACCTGCTGCCCTCGCCGCCCGGCTGCTGCTGCTCCGGCTCCGGCTCCGGCTCCTGCTGCAGGACCCTCACCATGTGCTGCAGCCCGGCCACGCGCAGCTCCGCCTCGCAGCCGCCGCTCCGGATCGCCTCCGCCACCCGCGCCACCTCGGCCAGCGAGCCCCTGCCGCTCGCCCCCTCGCAGCTGCCCCACGCTGCCGGGAGAGGCAGGGCCGTCAGGGCGGCAGCAGTGCCCAGGGCCCCCAAAGCCCCACGCGGGTTCTGGCACCCTGTGCCCGTGCCCCCCGCGCTGTCACCTCCGCTCTCCGCCGCCTCCGGGAAGCGCAGCCCTTCCCTCTCCAGCAGCTCTCCGAACAGCTGGGAATCCGACTTGGGCTCCTCACAGACGTCGTCCTCGTCCCTCGCTGCCTCGTCCTTTGCTTCCTTGTCCCTCGCTGCCTCGTCCCTCGTGGCACCAGGCCCAGCGCTCCCGCAGCCGGCACCCTCCGAGGGCACCTCGGGGCTGCCCCCGCCGTCCCGCTCGGCCCCCCTGCCCGGCCAGTACTTGCCGTAGACGCGGGAGCCGCGCAGGTGGCTGCGGGCGCCGCCCCGGCTCCGCTCCTCCAAGACCCGCAGCACCTCCTGGGCCAGCCCCGCGGGCACCGGCAGCTGGATCAGGGCCTCCTCGTCCAGCCCCGGCAGCTGCACAGACGGGGCCGCGTCAGCCCCCGGGACTCAGGGGGGGCCCCGCCGCCCACCCTCGCCCCCTCGGCCCCCACCTGCGCTGCCCGCTGCCGCTGGAGCAGGCGGGCGATCTCCTCCTGCTCCTGCGCTTCCAGCTGCCTGACGAAGAAGAGCAGCTCCCACCACTCGGCGCGGCTCAGCGTCCCCGCGGCCTGGCTCGGCTGCTCCCCCAGGTAGGGCGGGGAGTACAGCCCCCCCAGGGGCTTGGGGCAGAACGGCTGCGCCCCTGCAGGGCGGCAGAGCGAGGGGAGGCGGCGTCAGCTCCGCCAGCTGCCCCTGGCACGGAGCCGAAACGGGCACCTCCAGCTCAGGGCTGTGCCAAAATGCTCCCGCAGCACCTGGAGCAGGGCACGGCTCCGTCACGCAGCACCCAGAGCGCCAGCAGGGCCGCTTAGAGGAGCCACAGGTGCAGCTGACGCGATGCTCACCTGCTGCCAGTCTGTGGCTGTTTATCAGCCTCGTGCCCCGCTGCCGGCCCTCCTGCTCCTCCTGCCCCGGGGAGCCGATGATCTCCACCATGTGCCAGTGAACCCAGTAGGTGCAGCCCAGCGCTTGCCAGTACACCTGCGGAGGAGAGACCCACACAGAGGTGAGCGAGGGAATGGAAGACGAGGCTCCAGAGCGGTGCCAGGATGGCCAGCCCCATCCTCGCAGCAGCGGGTACCTGCACGGGCGGCGTGCCGTCGTTGCTCTGCCGAAATTCGCCCTCGTCCCCCGCGCTGACCTGCTCGTAGTCCTCCAGCAGGCGCACCCGCATGCCAGGCACCAGCTGCGCCCGCACGTACTCCACGTAGCTGCTGCGGCTGGGGAAGGCCGAGCGCGTCTTGAAGGCACTGGGCTCCTTGGGTGGAGGAGCCGGGGCTGCCCGGGCAGCGCTGCAGGACGCGGCCCCGTGCTGGAAGATGGAGCGGGGGGTTTGGGGCTTCGCCTCCTGCCGGGCCGTCGGCTCTGGCTCGTGGCTGTGCTCCCAGCCCATGGCACGCAGCAGCTCCACGATGAGGCCGGCCATCGCCATGCTGAACTCAAACTCCTGCTTCACGCGGCTGCTCTCCGGCTGCTCCCCTCCCTGCTCCTCCAGGAGGGAGGTGACGCGCAGGTAGCGCTTCACCAGGGCGAACAGCTGCTTCCCGGGGATCTGCAACGGGCAGGGCCCTCAGGGGATGCCTGGCTCAGCGCCTCCATCCCAAAACCAGGCTCCCCCCCTACCTGGGGAAGGTGGATGCCCTCAAAGGACATGCAGTGCTCTTCCGAGGATGTTGTCTCAGCAAACAGCTCCAGCAAGGTGTAGCGGCTGTCGAAGTCCATGTGCTGCTCGACGCCGTCCTGCTGGCTCAGGGACAGCAGGACATACGCCCAGCTCCCTGTAAGCACAGCAGAAACCCTTCAGTCCCTCCTCAAGCCACCCTGAGACACATGAGAGAGAAAACATTTCTCTCTCCTGTGTGTGTGTGTGCGTGTGTGCAGCTACTGGGGAGAGCTGTGTGATGGGGAGAAATGTGGCACCAGCGGCTGGGATGGCCGGGGGGGTCCCAGTGCCAGTGAGGGGAGCACGGGGGGCTCTCAGCCACCACAGTGGGAACAGCGTCCCCTAAATCAGCTACTGGAGGGACTGCCATGGACGAGGTGAAGGGCACCCTGCTTCCCTCCCAGCCCCCCCACCTGCGTCGTGCGAAGCCAGGGCCCTCAGCATCTTGCCGGCGCTGCGGCAGATCCGCTTGTCCTTGTGGCACAGCATCCTCGCCAGCAGGTCGAGGGCTCCCGTCTCCCTGAAGGCGCCCGCCAGCGAGCCGATGCCGGCGTAGGCGCTCAGCACGTGGACGGTGTCCAGCACGGAGGCGGCCCCGCTGCCGCCCAGCTGCCGGCCGGCTCGCCGCACCAGGCTCCCCACGTCGGCCTCCATCTCCCGCAGCGAGGCTTCGTCCGGGCCGCCCGCCCTCTCCTCCTCCTCCTCGTTCTCTTCCTCCTCCTCCTCCTCCTCGGCCCGCGGCCCCGCCGGCTTCCCCTCGCCCAGCAGCGCCGGGCAGCTGGCGCACGCCTCCTCCGCGGACATCCACAGCGCCACGCTCCCGGCGTCGGGCCCCGCCGAGGACTCGGAGCGCACCAGGCTCCAGCGCACCAGGTACCGCGGCTGCCCGTCCTGGCCTCGCCGCTGCCGCAGCAGCTCCCGCGGGCAGGCCTGCAGCTCGGGGCCCAGCCGCACCACCAGGCCGCTACTGGGGGTACTGGGAGGAGCTGGGGGCCCATGCCCAGCAGCAGGAGGAGGAGGAGGCTGAGCGGCTCGCATGGCACCGAGGAGCAGTGGGCAGACACAGCCTCACACAGGCAGCATCCCTGCTGCCACCGGGGCGAGCGGCTCTGTGAGGCTTCCGGGCTTGCAGCGCCGCACGCATGCGCAGGAGGAGCGACAGAGGGGGGCTGGGCCCTGCAGGTCCCCTCCCCCCTTCCCATTTATTAATTAATTAAGCACCAAGAGCCGGGTGGGAGCTGGCACACGCGGCTTTATTGTCCTGGCGGGGCCGCCACGCGGGGCAGGTGCACGTAGCTCTTGAGGGGCGGCAGGGGCCGGATCTTGCGGCCGGCCCAGCCGCCCTTGCGGTGCCAGAGCCCCGTGTGGGGCCGCTTGCCCAGCCAGCGGTTGCGGCCCGCCTTGCCGATCACCCGCTTGTTGTGGTCCACGTTGGAGACGCGGCCCACCGTGGCCACGCAGGTCTCCAGCACCTGGGGGAAAAAAGGAGAAGCCGTCGGCACCCCCTGTGCCGTTAGCCGGGGGGGCAGGGGGTGGGGGTTTAGGGCTGGCACGGCTCCGGGCTCTGCTACCTGCATTTGCCTCTTGGAGGGCAGCTGCACGATGGCCGTCCCGTTCACCTTGCGCAGCAGCACCCCGCAGGTCCCTGCCAGGAGAGGAGGAGGAGAAGGATGGGGCCACGCTGAGCAGCAGGATTTTGTCCCGAACCGCGGGGGGCACGTCCCCAAACACCCCAAACACCCGTGCCACTCACGCAGCGCCTCCCCCAGGGGACAGACCCCCGGGGGCAGCGCAGGGAGGCTGTCACACAGCTGTGCCCACCCCTAGGAAACACAATTTCACACCCCAGCACGGGGAGAGGAGGGGACAGGCGGCGGGTGGCCCCGCACAGACGCACCGGCCGCGCGGATGTACTGCGCCCCCTTGCCGGGGTGGCTCTCCAGGTTGCAGATCAGCGTGCCCACGGGCAGGGCCCCCAGCGGGTAGGCGTCCCCTTCCTTGGCCGACACTGCCGGGGGGGAAAAAGCCGTGAGCGTGGCACGGGGAGGGCGCTGAGCCCCCAAACGGGGCTGGCACGCAGCCCCGGGGTGCGCACCCGCCATCCTGCCGATGTGCGCCGAGTTCCTGATGATGTCCCCCGGCTGCATGTTCTCCGTGGCGATGATCCAGCGCTTCCGATTGCCGCCGGCCACCAGCGCGATGTCAGCCGACCTGCCCAGAGGCACGGAGGGTCAGAGCGGGGTTTGTCACGCTGCAGGGACCCCCCCCACACCAGCCCCCAGCCCCCGGAGCCTGCCCGGTGCCCGGTGCTCGCCTGCACGGGTCGTATCGCACGCTGACCACCTTCTCGCTGCCCTCCTGGTAGCGCAGCCGCTGGAAGTCGACCATGCGGTACCGCTGCTTGTGGCCCCCCCCGATGCCCCGCACGCGGATGCGACCTGGGGGACAAGGTGCGGGGGGGGGCTCCACATGGGTCAGGGTCCCCCCTCAGCCACCCGGTGCCCCCTTCACCCCCCCTGGGTCCCCTCAAGTCCCCAAGGTCCCCTCAGCCCCCTGGTGGCCCCCCATCTCCAGTGCCCCCCCCAACATCCCCTCAGCCCCCCAGTGACCTCCCCAGGTTCCCCTGGGTCCCCCCAGGTGCCCCCCCCAAACCCCAGTGTCCCCCACCCCCAGATCAGATCCTCCCAGCCCCCCCAATCCCCTGGTACCCCCCTCAGCCCCGGTACCCCCCCCCAGATCCCCTCAACCCCCCCTGGTGCCCCCCCCAGGTCCCCCTCAGCCCCCTGGGTCCCCTCAGGTGCCCCCCCCAACCCCAATGTCCCCCCCTCCAGATCAGATCCCCTCAGCCCCCTGGTGCACCCCCAGGTCCCCCCAGCCCCCGGTGCCCCCCCCGGGTTCCCTCAGCCCCCCGGGTCCCTCCTCAGTCCCCCAGTGCCCTCCCAGCCCCCCCAGGTCCCCCAATCCCCCAGTGCCCCCCTCAGCCCCCCAGTGCCCCCCGGTGCCCTCCCCACCCCCAGTACCCCCCCCAAATCCCCTCAACCCCCCCGATGCCCCCCCCCCAGGTCCCCTTCAGCCCCCTGGGACCCCCAGATGCCCCCCCCCAGCCCCAGTGCCCCCCCCAGATCCCCTCAGCCCCCCCAGTGCCCCCCCCAGACCAGATCCCCTCAGCCCCCCGGTGCACCCCCAGGTCCCCCCAGACCCCCAGGTCCCCCCCCAGCCCCGGCTCCCACCCGTGTGGTCGCGCCCCCCGGTTTTCCTCATGCCGAGGGGCCGCACGGTGTACTTGACGCGGCACTTCCACGTGGGGTCAGTCGTGCAGCGCGCCGCCGAGGCGCTCAGCCAGCGGCCGGCGGCCGCCGCCAGGCCCCCGGAGGGCGCCGCTATCGCGACAGGCCGGGCGGCGGCGATAGCGGCGCGGGGGGGCGACAGCACCAGCGCCCCCAGCGCCCGGCACAGCGCGGCGGCCGCCATCTTGCGCGCCGCTCCCCCCGCCCTGTGAGGCCACCGCGCATGCGCGTCGCGGCCACAGGGCGAGGGGGCGTGGCCAAACGGGGAGGGGGCGTGGCCACAAGGGAGGAGGCGTGGCCACGGGGAGGGGGCGTGGCCACGCTCCCGCTGGTGGCGCGAGGGGGCGCGCCGGCGCCAGTGGCGGCCATGTTGGGCTTAAAGGGGCCGCGCCGCTGAGCGGAGGGGGAGGAGCGCGGGGGGGGAGGGGGTGTGGGGGGCGTTTTGGGGGCGTTTTGGGGCCGGGCCCCGCCCCGTGTCGCCGCCGCAGCCCCGCACCGGTCACCGCCGCCCTGTGCCGAGCAGGTAGGAGCGGAATCGAGGGTTTTTGGGGCGGTTTTTGTTTTTTTTTGTTTTTTTGGGGGGGGTTTGGGGTAGGTTTGGGGTCGGTTTGGGGTCGGGGTGGGGGGCTGCAGTGTGGGGAGGGGGTGGGAGGGAAGGCCCCGGGGCACCGGGCCGCCCTGCTGCACTGTCAGCGGGGCTGGGGGGCGGGCAGGGGGGTGTCCTCCCAAAAATGGGGGTTTCCCCCCAAAATAGGGGTGTCCCCAAAAGAATGGGGGTGTCCCAAAAAAAAAGGGAGTGTCCCCCCAAAATAGGGGTGTCCCAAAAAAACAGGGTGTACCTAAAAAATAGGGGTGTCCCCCAAAAAAATGGGGTGTCCCCAAAAAATAGGGGTATTCCCCAAAAGAATGGGGTATCCCCAAAAGAATGGGGCATCCCCAAAAAAATAGGGCGTCCCCAAAAAATTGGGTGCCTTCCCAAAATCGTGGTGCCCTCCCAAAATCATGGTGCCTTCCCAACCTTGGGGTGCCCTCCCAAAATTGTGCTGCCCTCCCCCTATAGGGCTGCCCCCCGGAGCCCCCTTACCGTGCCTCCCTAGGGCACCCCGACCCCACTGTCCCCTGGGAGCCCTGGGGTGGGTTCAGCCCCCCCGGCCCGGGTGGGTTTCGGGGTGCTCCCCACCAGGCCCCGGTGCTTTGGGGCTACCAGGATGACGTCCCCATAGCCAGCCGGGGCATGGAAATAGGGCCTGGGCGGCTGTGGGGCAGCCCTACGGCTCCACGAGCTGGGTTTTGGGGTGCCACCAAGCAGGGGTGCCCCCCCCCCCGAGCTATAGGATCGGTATTAGGGTGCGCAGCTGGGATCCCAGAGGGATCGGCGTCACCCCCCCGAGCCCTTGGAGACCAGCTCGGTGGCTGCCGGGGGTGGCACCCATGGGGTCGGTGTGCGTGGCACTGCACCGAGCACGGCCCTATATCCGTCAGCACCGTGCCCACGGGGGGAACCGGGATCACCGGGCAAGCCGCTGCAGGCACCCAGGTAGGGCTGCTGGGGGGCAGATTCCCCGCTGGTGACGGGGACGGGCAGGGTGCCCGGCCGTCCCGTAACAAAGGGGCCGCTCCGAGCCGTGGTTTCGGGGTGAGTTTCCTCCCGGGGAGGCAGGGTGGAGCGGGACCGGGATGCTGGGAAAGGATGGAGGGGTTTTGGGGTGGAACAGGGGGGTTTTGTCCCCGTTTTTCCCGGCCCCAAGGATACGCAGCGGGCGTGCCTCCCGCTGCCAGACAAAGCCGGAGGAGCGATGACGGAGGCGGCTGCGAGCGCGCAGCAGCGGCTCGCAAACTTTGGGGGCCGCGTTTCCACCCGAAACCTTTCCCCGGGCGAAGAAATCCCTTCCCGAGCGGAGCTGCACCCCGCTGGAGGGGCTCTGGGGGGACACGGTTCCCCCGAAACCTCCGTCAGGGAGAAGGGATGCGGCTGGAGGAGGGCTGGGGGATGGCGCTGCCGCAGGGAGCCGTGGCCGGGCAGCCTGGAGACGTTGGCACAATGGTGGGAGGCTGCGGAGGGCCCCCAGCCCTCACCAGCCCCCCCAGCGCCGTGCCCGGCTCCTCTGCGCCCTGCTGGGGTCCTCTCCTAGCGCCCTTGGGGTCAGCTCCCCAAGGGAAAAAAGCACCTGCCCCCACTGCCAGCGAGGAGGAGGAGGAGGAGGAGGAGGAAGAGGAGGAGGAGGGTGGTGGCGCGCAGCGAGCGCGGGGTCAAAGATCTCCGGCGGCCCAGACGCAGGGTAAATAAACGGGGCTGAGCTCTGCGGGGCCAGAGGAAGGAGCAGGAAGCTCCTCGGGAGGAATGCCCAGGTGGGAACGGCAGCGGCGATCCCAAAAAGGGGTTTGGGGAGGGCGCAGGGGACGCGCCGCGAGGCTTTGACCTTGGCGAGGAGGTGCCGGGTAGAGGCTGGGTTCGTGAGCAAACCCAACCCTGCGCTTATGGTGCAGGATCAGGGAGCTGGCTGCAGGGGCACGGGGCTGCGGGGGAATTATTCCGCCTGCTCCCACCCCGCTGCCTGCTGCCGGGGCCGGGTGCTGGCTGTGCGCAGCGAGCCGCCCGCCCTCCCCATCGGGCCGGGGGGAGACGCTGGGCGATGCCTGGCTGCGCTCCAGGACAGAGGTTTTCGTGGTGCCCCGCTCAGCACAGCCGCAGCAGATGCGGAGTGGATTTGGCTGCTGGGAACGTGAGCAGGAGGTGGTTTTTAATTTTATTTTTTATTTTTTTTCCTTTTTTTTTTTTATAAAAACAACACCTTCTCAGCTGATGCTAGCAGGCGGGTTTGGGTGCTGAAGGCTGTGCGTTTTCCAGGCCAGCCGGGCTTGCAAACAGCACGAGGGGCTGTGAGGAGCCATCGGGCTTCCTGCTACGGCACGTGGCTCCTCCGATTTATTTATTTTACCTGCGTTGCCTCCCGTGTGTGTGTTCCACAATCATCAAAGAACAAAAGCAGTGAACCCTTTCTGCTCTTGATAGGATGCCAACCCCACCAGCTCCTCCGTCTGCCCCGGGGCAGATGTGTGCCCTGGACGTTGGCTCTGGCTTTGGGAACGCAGGAGCTGTTTGGGCAACCACAACAACCCCAGTTTGGCATTTCCAGGAGGAGATGAGAAGCCCCCGGGTCCTTTCCGAACCTGGAAAGCCAGGTTTCGGGCAGGTTGTGTTGCAGCACATTTTCTGTAAGAGGTCAGGGTGGCGGGGAGCTGGAGCTGCTGGGACAGAGAGGGGTGTTCAGTGCTTAGGGAAAGAGCATTTCTGGAGTTTCCCCTCTTCTTGTGGGAGAACCCATCCACGCGAGCTGCACAGCTCCCTCCTGAGCCCTAGTTCAACGCCCTGGGGCTCCTGCAGCCTGCGGGTTAGCACAGGCTTTCCCGACGCAGCCCTTCTGGCATCCAGAAGGGCTCCTGGAGCTCCGCACGCAGCCAGAGCTGGCATGTGGCAGCTGCTGCTGCAAGAAGCAGTCCTGGCACCGAACCCCGGCCAGGGCGTGGGGAGGGCTGAGCTGTTGGGCAGCACCCTTTGGCTTTGGGGTTGCAGCTCAGAAACGTGCTGGGTAGGAGCTCCCAGGGTGCCAGCGTCCTGTTTGTGTGCCCTTGGGGGCTCTGAGGTGTCCCGGCTGCCCCTAGGCTCCTGCGGTCCCTGTTTGTTTCCTGGTGCTATGGCACCAAAACGAGGAGGAAGCTTGTGACACCAGCTCTGCTCAACCTCAGCGCTCTGTTTCACTGCCCTCGATTTATTTTTTGCTGTCCGAGGTGTCGGGTCGAGCTTTGGTTGTGGCGTGGAGGCTCGGCTGTGCGTCGGCGATCTCGCTTTCAGCTTCGTGGAGGCCAGCCAGCCTTCCAAAAAACCCTTTATTCGGTGGTTTGACAGCAACGAGCTGGCTGAGGTCCAAAAAAGAAAACCCCAAACCCTAACAAAACAACCCCCAAAGCCTTCCCTGTTGCCTGAAGCAGGTCAGCCACCTCCTGTAGGTACCCAAAGCACAGGGCTGGGGTACCTGCTGTGCCCACACGCCTCCAGCCCCGCGGTTCCGTGCCTGCAGTGCTCATCCGTGTCCCTCTCCCAGGCTTCTTCGCTCCTTCTCGCTATGAATCAGCCTCATTCTGCTCCCCAGGAAGCTTTTTGTCCAGAACCCGGTTGTTTTTCCTGCAATTACCGCATCCTGAGATCGCGTTCTCCTACAGAAGAGCTCGCGGAGAGCAGTGGCAGGCACCCGCGGGCTGAAGGTCTTGTGCGAGCTGTGCAGCGCCGTGTCGCACGTACACTTGGTCTGGGGACGTGCAGGGAGACGAGCTGAATTTGTTGAGGCACGTGTAGAGGTAACAAAAGACCACCTGAAGTCTTATCCCATCCTAGCTGCCCCCTGATTTCCCCGGTGCCAAGTTCGTGGCTCCCCAGAGCCTCCTGGCAGCGAGCTCCTGAGCTTTGAGGTCCGCTTGGACCCATCTCGTCTGGCATCCTTGTCTTCGTTGCGGGCTTCAGACGTGAGCGCCGAAGCTTCCAGCTCTTTCCTCTTCCATCTCTCGTGTGTGGGAGCGGATTTCAGCGGCAGAAGAAGTGGGCTGAGAAAAACTGCTGACGCTCGGTGGTTTCCCGGTGCCGCACCGGAGCGCGGGAGGGAGGTTTGTGCCCAGCAGGACGCGGCAGCTGGTGGCTCCCCGGCTGCCTGCAAGCGCCGCAGAGCTCCGTGCAGGCTTCCTCCTGCCCTGCCTGCCCCCAAAAACGGGAGCAGGGCTGTTCCAGCAGCTCGCCGTCCACGGGGAGGCCGTGCCAAGTGGAGCAGAAACGCGCCGGTGGAGACCTGAGCCGCCGCCACGCGCCCCAGAGCTGTGGGGATGGCAGCTGGATAAAGGAGGAGCTGGGTGCTCCAGCCTGAGCCTCCCCTTTCTGCCCGGGTAAAGGACACTCCGTGCCCTTTGCTGAACGTGTGGGAGCAGGAAGAGTGCTTGTGCAGCAGCCTCAGCCTGCCTGGCCTTGGCATCGGTTGCCATAGAGCGCGGTGCCTCTCCGGAGGGCTGCGCACCGGGCACAGACCTGCCAGCCCTGGGGAGGGCTGGAAATAAGGCTCCGGGGGGAAGAATCCTCGCTTTGGGGGATAATGAGCCATCTTCCAACGGTGTTTGAGGGTTTACTTCCCTTCGGTCCTCTCTTTGTTTTCTTGGTGGTGTTTGGGAGTGAGCAGCCCGGGTGCTGTGCAGCCCGCTCGGCTCCCTTGGAAGCTGGAGCTGGTGCCCGGCAGGGCTGTGCTTGTCACAGAACCACAGAAGGGTTTGGGTTGGAGGAGACCTCAAAGATTACTGAATTCCACCCCCTGCCATGTGCAGGGACACCTCCCACCAGCCCAGGCTGCCCAAAGCCCCATCCAGCCTGGCCTTGAGCACCTCCAGGTCACGGTTGTTTCATTCCATCTCCCTTCTCAGACAACCTGCAGCCTTTACAGCTTGGCAAAAGAAGCTGAGTGTGGGGACTGGGAGATGCTCCCGGCTTTTTTTTTTTTTCTTCTGGAAGGGCAGAAGAAAGACAGGCTGTTGCTGGAGCAGGGATCCTGGTGTTTTAACACGCAGCTCAGCAGTTTCTCAGGTGCTGGGTAGCTCTGCGCACAGCGGAATTAATGAGCCTGATTTCCTATGGATCTGGGGCTTGTGGGGCTGTTATCTAGCAAGGTGTGAGCTCTGGTGGCTTTTTATCCTTCAGCAGTTGTTACCTGGGCTTCTGTGGAAGCAGGTAGGTGTGTGCTGCGCCTTGCTAGCAAGCTGGGAAGCCTCGCACATCTCTCCTGGATTGTGCTCGCCCGCAGAAGGCTGACTGGGGAAGGTTTGGGGGTTTCCATTGTTGCTTCAGCACTCAGTCCCTCCCCTGATGTTTTATCAAGGTGGGAAAGAGCACAGGGGGGTTACGGGTCTGGTGGATTCCCCAGGAACGGGCAGCTAAGCAATTTGGAAAATGGGTTACGAGTGGCAGCCAGTTCTCAACAGCATCTCCTTTCCTTCAGAACAATAATTTATGCCCCGTAGTTAGATCCCGGGGACATTTTCCCTGCCGCTCTTACCCTTTGCTCTTCCCACTTTGTTGCCAAGCACAAATCTCGGCTCCTAAATGGAAGCTAAATCACTCGTGGCTGGCTGCTGGAACAGCCCCCAGGCACTCAGGTTTTGGTTTTCTCTCTCCCCAGGGCTGCAGGACCAGGACTATGTCCACCATGGTGTACCCAAGGGAGGAGAAACTGGACAAGCTGAGCCAAGAGGAGATCATTTCCAACACCAAGCTGGTGATGCAGGGGCTGGAGGCGCTCAAGAACGAACACAACTCCATCCTGCACAGCTTGCTGGAGACCATCAAGTGCCTGAAGAAGGATGAAGAAGCCAACCTGGTGCACGAGAAATCCAACCTGCTCCGCAAATCGGTGGAGATGATCGAGCTGGGGCTTGGAGAGGCTCAGGTGAGAGCGGCGAGCGCCCTCCCGTGTGCTTGGTACCTGGGACTGACGGGGCGGGTGGCCCTGAGGGTGGTCCCCAAGCGTGTGTGTGAGGGACACGTGAGGCTGGGGGCTCTCCTGACCCTTCCTGTCCCTCCCGACCAGGTGATGATGGCGCTGTCCAACCACCTGAACGCGGTGGAGTCGGAGAAGCAGAAGCTGCGGGCTCAGGTGCGGAGGCTGTGCCAGGAGAACCAGTGGCTGCGCGACGAGCTGGCCAACACCCAGCAGAAGCTGCAGCGCAGCGAGCAGACCGTGGCTCAGCTGGAGGAGGAGAAGAAGCACCTGGAGTTCATGAACCAGCTGAAGAAGTATGATGAGGATGTCTCGCCTTCGGTAGGTCCTCGTCCTGTCAAGCAGCAGCCTTTTGCCCCCGGGGGGGTTGGACCCAGCGGGATGGCGTGGGTGTGACAGCCTTGCCCTGGGTCTGTTGTGTGGGAGAAAGGTGGTGGCAGAGACAGCGGGGAAGTTGGTGGTGGTTTGGGGCTGCAGCAACGGGGAGAGATTCGCAGCTGGCTCAGCCCGGGCTGCTGTCATCTCCTCCAAGAACCTACAGCCCTGTGATTCCCATCTTAGGAGGAGAAGGAGGGCGACTCCACCAAGGACTCCCTGGACGATCTGTTCCCAAATGAGGAGGAAGAACACGGTCCTGGATGTAAGTGTGGGCTTCTGCTTGGTGTTGGTTGCTGACTGTCCCCATTCCAACCCGCCCTGCCGACCGTGCCCCCGTGTCCTGTTCTGTGCCCGCAGTGCCCCACCAGCACAGCAGCGCGGTGGCAGCTGCCCAGCAGGGAGGCTACGAGATTCCCGCACGCTTGCGCACCCTCCACAACCTCGTCATCCAGTACGCCTCCCAGGGACGCTACGAGGTGGCTGTGCCTCTCTGCAAGCAGGCGCTGGAGGACCTGGAGAAGACATCGGGCCACGATCACCCCGATGTGGCCACCATGCTCAACATCCTGGCGCTGGTGTACAGGTGAGGGTGGTGGGGAGGACACAGCGGGGCCAGGAGGGCTTTCTCCTCCTGTTCACCCGCTCGGCACATTGTGGTGGCAAGGAGTTCTTCCAGCTTCCAAGGATTTGCCTTTTAGAAAGGGTTTTTGGCACAGGTAAAGGATTTGGACCGCCAAACTCCCTGATAAAACCAGGGACTGGCTAAAGCAGGGAGGAAAGGAGAAATGGGTGGGCTGTGGGAGCTGGTGTGTGCGGAGGGAGGACTGCTGGTTGTGGTTCTGCTTGCCGTGGGCTGTGGTGTCCAAACCCTGAATAACTCGCTGGCTTTGCACCGCAGGGATCAGAACAAATACAAAGAGGCAGCGCACCTCCTGAACGACGCGCTCTCCATCCGGGAGAAGACCCTGGGCAAAGACCACCCGGCGGTGAGTGTCTCCCTCCTCCCTTGGTCACTCCTCTTGCCCAGGGACCCTGGGGTGTGTGGGGTGCTGTTTGGCCACATCATCCTCTTTCTGCCAATCTTGTTCAGCGTGGCCTGGCAGCATCCAGGAGAAACCAGTTCCTGACACGTAGGCAAGGTTGGTCCCACTGAATTCATCTTTGTTTCAAAAAAAAACCTTTTATCTCTGCAGGTGGCTGCAACTTTGAACAATCTGGCTGTCCTCTACGGCAAGAGAGGGAAGTACAAAGAAGCAGAGCCCCTGTGTAAGCGAGCCCTGGAGATCCGTGAGAAGGTACTGCACTCCCACAGCCTCCCTTCCAGCTCCTTAGGGTTTTCTTTCCCTTCCTTGCCATGTTTAAATGTCTTTTTGTGGCTTCTCCTCTTCTGTGCACCCAGGTCCTAGGCAAAGACCACCCCGACGTGGCCAAGCAGCTGAACAATCTGGCCCTGCTGTGCCAGAACCAGGGCAAGTACGAGGAGGTGGAGTACTACTACTGCAGGGCCCTGGAGATCTACGAGAGCTGCCTGGGTCCTGACGACCCCAACGTGGCCAAGACCAAGAACAACCTGGTGAGACCCTGGGAGGAGGCGGTGTGAGGATGGGTGGGAGATGGGAGAGGTGGGCAGGGTAAATCTGTGTCGTCCAGCGGGATTGGAGCTGCTTTCTTGGTTGCAGGCCTCCTGCTACTTGAAGCAGAGCAAATACAAAGACGCCGAGGTGCTGTACAAGGAGATCCTCACCCGTGCTCACGTGAAGGAGTTCGGCTCCGTGGATGGTTCGTACGGCAGGAGTTACTGGGGCTGGGGAAGGCCCAGCAGTTTGGTCCCCTGGCTCTCAGCCTGAGCTTGGTATCCCCTTGGCAGAGGGATGGGGATGCCTTGCAGAGCCCCTGCTTTGGGCACTCCTCGAGACGCTGCCCTTGCAGTGTCTTGTGCTGGTCCACGTCCCTCGGAAGGAGACTTGGAGAGCTCTGGCCGTGAGCCTGTGCTTGGGAAGCAGCTGTGGCTAACGGGGGGACAGGGTTGTGCAGGAGCTGGAGCTCCAGGGGAAGTGTGGCAGAGCAAGGGGACGAGGTGGTGACCTGAGCTGTCTTGTGTCCTTCCCCGCACAGATGAACACAAGCCCATCTGGATGCATGCGGAGGAGAGAGAGGAGATGAGCAAGGTGAGTCTAAGCTGGGGGCGCAGCAAGAGCTGAGGGGAAAGATTCATCTTGTAAAGCTGCTGGCCAAAGCTGGCCCAACAGAGCCATGCTGGCTGTGCCCCCTTCTCTCCCAGGGCTGTGGGGCAGGCGGGGAAATCCAGCCTTGCAGGAGAGATGTGCAGCTGGAGTGAGATTCATTTTTACAGCCTGGGCAAGGACTGAGCCTCGTCCTCCCCTGGGACGTTTGGGCTGGGCACAGCTGCCCTGGGGGCAGTGGCACAGCACGGTCAGGAGTGGTGACCACACACCTGGCTTGTCCTGCTGGGGCTGCTGCGCTCCGCTTCGTGCCATTTCCAGATTTCCTATTAAAAAAAGTATCAAACCGTCTTTGTAGAGCTTCACTTTTTTTTTTTTATTTTTTTCCCCTCGCCCCTCTTTCTCCCTGCCCTTAGTGGCAGCAGGGAGAGGCCGGCTTTCCTTACAGCAGCTCCGGCCTCGAGTCTAGGCTTTTTGTGCCCCCGGAGCATTTCACGGCGGTTTCAGCCACCCTTTTAGGGCTGCCTGTGTGCAGGCATCAGAGGCATTTTGAACATTAAGTGGTCTTATCCTTGGGGTTGCCCAGGACCCCTAAACGTGCCCGTGTTCCAGGCCTGATCCTGGTGCCCGGAGGGCTAACAGATATCCTCTCACCCTACAGAGCAAGCACAGAGACAGCGCTCCCTACGCCGAGTACGGCGGCTGGTACAAGGCCTGCAAGGTTAGCAGGTAAGAGGGGTTCGTGGTGGGCAGCTTAGGGGTGGGCGAGGTGCCCCCAGGGCTCACCCTGCGTCTGTTCCCCGCAGCCCAACGGTGAACACCACCCTGAGGAACCTGGGCGCGCTGTACCGGCGCCAGGGCAAGCTAGAGGCAGCAGAGACCTTGGAGGAGTGTGCAGTTCGCTCCCGGCGGCAGGTAACCCTGGGGGGACCTTGCTCAGTGGGGGAACTTTGGGGTTTCGGGGCTGTCCCGTGCCTTGCAGCCTCCCATCTCCGTGGCTGACGTCCCCGTAACAGCTCGGGGCTTGGGGTTGGGGTTGGGGTTGGGGTTGGGGTTGTGTGTGTGCATGTATGCTCGTGGATGGATGGAGCACGTGTTTTCGGGGGAATATTGTGTTGGGGGGGCTCTGTGTTGTGATGGAAGCGTGGCTCTTGGAGCGCAGGAATCCTGCAGCTGCCTTAGGACAGGATCCTGGGCTTTGTCAGCCACCGAGGAGACCTGCACTCACCGGAATATTTTCTTCCTACTAATTGCTCGTCCAGGAAATACAGTCGAGATTTCCCAGAGCTCCTCTCACCCTAAACTCCTCTCAGTCCTCACACAAAGCGGGAGTTGTGAGCACCCAGCACAAAGGCTGGGGGAGAGCAGAAACCCTCACGCACCAAAACGTGAAGGACAAAAAGTTTTCAGCTTCGGGGCAGCGAGCCCTCGTCACTCGGGGTGGCTCATGGCTTGAAAGGGGCTCCCCGAACCTGAAACCCAAACTGAGGCTGCTCAGTGCAGGAGAGGATTTGGTTCTGTCCTCGTGCGGGAGGATTTTGGCTGTGATGGGCCGGGCCCGGGCAGGGCAGCACCACGGAAGGGCGAAACCTGGTGCTTCCTTATCCCTTCCTCCTTGCAGGGCATCGACCCCATCAACCAGACGAAGGTGGTGGAGATCCTGAAGGAGGGCGACGGCACAGAGAGGCGTCGGAGCCTGGGTGGCGGCGTCAAGTACGAGAATGCCACAGACGGTAGCGAGGAAGTGAGTATGGGCGTGGAATGGAGCGGGGTAAGTACAAGACACCATCAAGAACGGCCTCAGCTGGCTGCTGGAGGGAAGGGGCAGCCCGGCTCAGGGCTCTCCCCGTGTGGCCTGTCGTGGCATCCTCGTCTGCCTCCATTTATCCCCTTCCTGCACACTTCTTCCTCCCCTTCTTTCTCGGTGGGAGCCAGCCAGCCCACGGAGGTGCGTGCCTGGGCCTGGCTGCTGGCGTACAGGCCAGAGACCCCCCCAAACAGGGGGGGCTGCGGGTTCCTGGCAGCGCACAGCATGAGCTGGTCCCGGCCCACAATTAATCTCAGCCTCGGCAACCTTATTAACACCTCTCCCCGCTGCGCACCCCTGGCAGGCCCACGCGGCCTGCGGGAGCATCTCGCCTCCGCGGCCTGCAGCGCGCCACACGGGCAGGGAGCGCAGGGAGCTCTGTGTGTGTGTGTGTGTGTTTGTGGGGCTGTGGCTGCGTGGTTTCAGGGCAGGGGACAGTCCTCAGGCAGCGCCACGGTGGTCTCGTGCCCCCCGCGGGCTCTGGATGAGCGAGGAGGTGGTGGCCAGGGGAGGCTGCTGGTGTGAGCCCGCTCGGACACCGAGGGGCACTTCAGTCACCGAGCTCGGAGGGAGGTGGAGGTGCAGGTTGAGGGGCAGGAGAACTCTGCGAGCAGGCTGGAGACGAGGCTGGAGACGAGGCGGCACAGGAGCATGTGTGAACACCCAGGGTGCTTGGCTCGAGGGCTGTTAATGCTTCCCCATCTCTAGCTCAGGGCGTAGCCGGCGCCTCGGGTGGGTGGGCTGCAGCCTGGCACTCACTGAGCACAAGTCCCTCCGCTTCCCCCCCTCACGCCTGCTCTCACTAACCCCGCCGTCCTCACCCGCATGAGCTGTCTCCCTTTCCTCCTTCCTCTCCCCCGGTGCCATGACAGCCCCTCAGCACCCAAGCCTGAAGCCCGCTGGCTCTCTTGATTGTGGATTGTACCCTGGAGGGGGTCTGGGGAGCAGAGCTTTGAGGGCTCCCCCGGACACCAGGCTGCCCTCAGCCTCAGTTTGTGGTGTCAGCACTGAGGAGGGTCCCACCCCGAGCCAAACACCGACTTTGGGCCCTCCTGTTCCCATTAGCAGAGGGGGACAGTCCCCATCCCCGCAATCCTTCCCCAGCCAGCTGTAGGGAGGTTTGGGGAGCCGGGACGTGGCTGCTCAGTGCCTTTCCCAGCCCAGCCAGCTCCCTCTGCCCCGCCAGCAGCCCCAAAAAGGAGGCTGAGGCAGCTCCCCCTGCCCCTGTCCATCACGGGCAGCTGTTCCCTCTGCTGGCCATGAGACCTCGGTCACACCACCCCAGGCATCTCTGCCACCATCCCTTGGCAGGGCTCTGGGAGCCCCAGGGGTGGCAGCGACCTCTCTGCCCCCTCGAGAAGCACCCCGGGGCCTGGCCCAGCTACCTGCTGCCCAGGTAAAGGTGCGATCCCACTGTTTGAGCCCCCCCAGCCTCCCTCCCCATCTAGACACCGCCCGGTGTCACCGCATGCAGCCCGGGCCGTGCCCCAGCACCTCCCCCAGGGTACCTCCGACCTCACGGCCTTGTGAATTGTGTCTCTCTCCTCTCTGTGCACTAGGCTTAAATGCCTCCCGAGACTCCCTCTTACCCCCTCCACCGCAGCCAACCACCTGGATGTGTGTGTTGTTACCTTCCGACTTTTCCTCCACCACCACCATCCCTCCTTCCTCGCCGAGAGCTCCGCGCCAGCCCCCCCAACCCTCCCGGCGCGCGAGGGCACCGCAGCGCCTGCAGAGGAGCTCCCGGCCCCCACGGGGCCCCGCTCCAGCCCCGTGGCCAGCAAGAGCAGGAAGGATCTCCGTTTTGGGGCACGGAGGCCTGGCCTCGGCAGGCCCATCGTGTGCCCGCTTGCTTTCTTCCCCCTCCCCCTCCCCCCCCATAGGTTTTTTAGCTGATTTTAGCACCCCGTAGCAAACCTGCGCTGGCCGTCCTCTCCCTGCAGCACGGGGCAGTCCCCGCAGTGCTCTCCTCCTCCTCCCCACAGCCCAGGAGGCTCTCAGCAGGGTTTTGGATGTCCCTACCATGCACCCCAGGTATGGGGTGACAGCCAAGGGACACCTGGCTGCTGGCTCCTAACCCGATGCTGTGGCTGAGCTGGCGGGGTGGCAGTAAGAGCAAGCGTCCCGTGGCTCCAGGGTCCCCGCACGTGGCTGAGAGGCGAGGGTGAAGCTGTTCTCTGTTTTTTTCGGAGGCAGAAGGATGGGTAGGAGGAGAGCGGAGCTGCTCTCCGAGCAGGTACCAGTGGCTGAGGGAGAGAAGGGGCTGGTGTGAAGCACAGCAGGGGGAAGAAGGAGGTGCGAGGAAGGGTGTGAGGGAAGGAAGAGCACGAGGGAGAGGTGAGGGGGCAGGAGGGAGGTTTCCAGAGGAGGAGGAGGCTTTCCTGGGAAGGAGGAAGAGTTCAGAAACACGGGACCTGGCTCACGAGGCACGGTCCTCGGGGCTGCGACTCGCTGTCCTTAGCCACGTGGACAGGAAGACCCAAACCCTCTTACAGGGGCCACAGGGCTGACCCTGGGCTGGTGTGGGGACAGCTCAGCACCCGCAGGGAAAAAGCCATCTTTTCCCAAAAGCAGCCCATTTTGCCGTGAGCCCCATACCCTTGGGTGCACGCCCCCATCCCACCCGCTGCGGGGAGAGAGGAGCCTGGGGAGGCTGCGGGGAGCAGGGCAGAGCCTAGAGGCCAGCGCAGGAATCCCCCCCCCCCTTTATTTATTTAGCTGGGTAGTTTCCTGCTTGTCACCTGGCAGTAAGAAACCTGCTCGTGTCTGCCTGAGCCTGGCTTTCCCCTGCTGCTGGTGGTGCTGGTGGTGGTGCAGAGGCCTCGGGGAGGCTCTCCTGGGAGCTTGTGCTTGCTGGAAAAGCAGGGGGCTCGTCCTCGGGACCACCACCACGGGGATCTGAGGGCTGTAGGGCTGCGCCGTGGCCGCCTCTCCCTCCCACCACGTGCTCCTCGGAGCGCGGGGAGCCCCCACCCCCCCCCCAGCACCACCCGGCTCGGCGCTCTGCCGCGTCCCCAACCTGGTGCTGTACCCACTGTACCTCCTGATTAAAGGCAGACAGACCCGAACCGCTGCCCTGTGCTTCTTTCCACGCTCCGGAGGGGCGAGAGGCTGCTGGGTCAGGCGGGGGTGCGCTTGGTGTCTGTGTGCGTGCAGGGGGGGGGACATGTGCTGCCGCATGGGAGGCAGGGGGGCGCCTTGCTGAGGGACCCCAGGCTGCTGTTCACCTCCCCAGCCTCCAACCTGGAGTTGTTCCCCAGCCTAGCCCTGCAGCCAAATGCTGGGGCTGCCACAGAGCACCAAAATTTGGGTTTTCTTCTACATTTATTTCTGGTACCCAGAAAAAGACCCCGCTGTGCTGAGCTTCATGGGCGGCCACATCCCGCCCGGGTCCTCTGCCCCCGTGCAGCGGAGGGGCTCGGTGGTGGAGCTGCTGCTTGTTCTCATCCCGGTGGGTGCAGCGAGGTGGGTGCTCTGCAGCAAACCAAGCCCCATCAGCCTGCTGGGTTAAAAATAACGCTGCAGAAGAGGGAGCGGGGAGAGAAAAGGAGGCTATTTTTAACCCGGAGTGCAGCAGCACTCGCTTCTGGCAGCGGTCTGCAGGCAGCCTGCACCGCTACAGCTGGGGAAACGGGGCTCCATCCTCCAGCCCCGACCCCACAGCTTTCCTCCCAGTGGGATCCTGCTGCCCCCGCACCACCATCCCGCTCCCCTGCCCCACCAATGCTCCCTGGCAAAAGGATCAGCGCCTGGCGTGGCAGAGCCCTGCCGGGAGCGTGGTGACCCAGCGCTAGCGGTGGCGGGGCTTTTTTGCTTCCTTCCCCTCTGTCCCCTCTGTCCCCTCCCCATCTTTGCTAGTGCCGCGTACCAGCTCTGCCCAAAGCTGCCTGTGATGCCCGGCGGAGGAGCGGGATTGCTTGCCCTGCTAATCCTGCGTTCCCTCTCTGCGTTCCCGGTGAGTGGGTGCCCGGCAGCAGCAGCAGCAGCAGCAGCAGCAGCGCGTGGTTTTCCCAGCTGGGGAACCCCTCGTGGCGGTGAGGAAGCAAAGAGGTGCTCGGCACCCCAGAGCAGATGGGATCGGGGCCGGGAGAAAGGTTTGCTGGTAGGGCACGGTCTGTTCGGATGGAGGGGTACAAAGGGGCTCCCGTGTGTGCTCACGAGGGCTTCTGTGGTTGCCTCACCTTTTTTCTGCCTCGTTGTGCCAGGGAAAACAGCTCTTGGGGCCACTGGGAGCAAAAGAAGACCACAGTTAACAGGTTACGAGAGCAAAAGCAGCCCCACACCAGCGGTGATGGCACAGCCCTGTGCCACGGGTGTGCCCGGCCGCGTGGGAGGGCTCGGTGACACAGTGGCACAAGGCGGTGGTGTGCTGGCAGCCGGCACGTGGCCACTGAACGCATCCACGTGGAGCTCAGCCACCAGAGGGGCGAGAGTCCATCAAGGGCTGAGAGTGCCTGTCTCCATCGCGGGGACATTTGGGGGCACGAGGGAGGCAACGGAGAGGGTTTAGGTTTAGGTTTGGGGCCAAGTTTGGTCTCGGTGAAAGCAGGCAGCAAAGGAGCCAGCCCGGAGCAGCCAGATGTCCCAAAGCCGATCGTCCCGGGGGCGTTCGAGGTGGGCTGAGTCCGTGTGCGAGTGCGGAGTGGTTCTGTCTGACACCAGTGGCCCAGGACCAGCGAGTGGGATGGACGGGGGGAGCACCACCAGCACAGCGAGGAAGGGGGAGAGGGGAGGCTCATCTCCAGCCGGCAGTGGCTGGGGAAGCAAATGCCCTAACAGCACGTCCTGACCTCACCGAAGGTGTCCCCAAGCTCGGGGACCCCCTTGCTGCTTGCTGACCCCGGGGAGCTGTAGGGGATGGAGCGGGGCTGGGGGTGCCGGCGGCCCGGTTCTCAGCGTGCCACAGCCCCCCCCTCGGCGCCGCTCAGCCCCGGCCCCTGGCTTGTGTCTCCGTCTCCAGGACGGCAGCGGCACCCTCCAGCGCAGCAGCTCCCTGGGGAAAATCCGCGAGGTGATTCGAAGGAGCAGCGAGATGTTGGTCAAGAAGCTGCAGGGCAACGGGCCCCTGGAGCCCAGGAACACCAGGTAGGGACCCCAGGGCGTTGGGGTGCCGCTGACGGAGGTCGGGCACCAACTGACCCCCCCCTCTCCTCTGCTTCCTCGCAGCATGAAGCGAGCCGCCTCGCTCAACTACCTGCACAAGTCCAGCGACGCTTCCTTCGAGGTGAGGGACGGGGACGGGGCAGGAGCAGGCACCGGGGGGGCCCGTGGGTGCCGGTTCTCATACGTGTTGTGTTTTTCAGGGCACCCAAGGGCTCCGTGCGGAGAGCAGAGGCCTCAGCGCCAGCAGCATGGATCTTTCCTCCCACAGCTCCCTGCTCGCTTCCAACTGACCCCCTTCTTTCGGTGTCCCCCCCCCCCCCCGCACACTCAGCGCCTCGCCACGGCTTTATGGGGCCGCAGCCGGCCCCCTCCCCACCTCCACTGCTCCCTCCCCATCATCACGGTGCCCCCCTCGCTCCACCCCGGGGGTCCTGGCGGGGTGGGGGCTGCAAGGAGGTCCCCTAGCTAGTTTGGGATGACGGGGGGGACAGCAGGAAAGTAGGATCCTGGTGGGGTCAGGCTGCCCCATATTGCGTGGGGTGCCCCCCAGCACTGGGATGTCCCCCACCCCCTGGAGCCCCCGGGTGCTCTCCATCCCCGGGGCGCCCCTATGAGCCCCCAAGCTTGCGGGAGAGGGCTGGGGGCTGGAATTTGGGGCTGGAATTTGGGGCAGGGCGCGGCTCCCGAGCTGTACTTTCCGAAATAAAGCCCCCCACCCCTCCTAATCCGTGCCTGCCGCGGGTATTTGGGGAGGGAGGGGGGCGCGCAACGGGACTTGGGGGCGCGCAATGGGGGTCGGGGGCGCGCAACGGGGCGGAGAGCGATGACGTCGAAGGGGATGACGACGGGGCCGATGACGTCATCATGACGTCAGGAAGGGGCAGTGCTTTTCCGGAGCTGGGTGGAGTTGGAAAGGGTTTGGGGAGGGGTTGGTTTGGGGAGGAGAGGAGGGGGGGGGGGGGGAAGATGGCGCGGATCAGGCTGGAGGACCTGGACGGGCTGGGCGAGGAGGAGGAGGAGGGGGATGAAGGCGGGGGGGGGGGAGGCCGAGGAGGAGGAGGAGGACGAGGAGGAGCGGGGCCGGCTGTTTGCGCACTGGGAGGTCGTGGCCAGCACGCACCGGGTGAGCCTGCCCCCAGGTGAGCCCCGGGGAGGTGGTTTTGGGGGGGGAACACGGCCGGGATATGGGGTATTGGGAGGGGGGGGACACCCACCCAGGACACCCCCCCTGACCCCTTTGCCTTGCAGACATGGCTGGCCCCATCGTCCAGATGAACCGGCACAGCCAGGCGCGGGAGCCTGTGCCCCACGTCGCCCTGTCGCGACATGGCAAGGTGAGAGGACCCCCGACCTGCTTCTGCCCCCCCTTCTCCATGCAGCCACCCCCTCCCCCAGCCTCGCACCCCGCTGCCCGCCGCGCTCGGACGCCTCGCCAGCCGTGCCAAGCAAGCGTGGGCGCTTCTGCGTGCGGCTTGGGGTGCCACGGCGCAACAGGGCGTACAGCTGGCAGAAGTGTCCGAAATTTGAAGGGTTTGGGGGGGAAGATGGGTGAGGGGTGGCTGAAGTCGCTGGGTTTGTCCAGCCCCGAGCAGAGCAGGCTGAGGGGAGGCCTCATGGCAGCCTGCAGCTCCCTCACGAGGGGAGCGGAGGGGCAGGCGCTGAGCTCTGCTCTCTGGGGACAGCGACAGGACCCGAGGGAATGGCATGGAGCTGGGACAGGGGAGGGTCAGGCTGGGGGTTAGGGTCTGCACCCAGAGGTACTCGGGCACTGGGACAGGCTCCCCAGGGAAGTCATCACAGCACCGAGCTGCCAGAGCTCAAGCAGCATCTGTACAGCACCCTCAGACACAGATGGGTCAGATTTTGGGGTGGTGCCATGCAAAGCAAAGAGCTGGACTCGACGATCCACGCAGATCCCATCCAGCTCGGGATGCTCCGTGGTTCTGGCTGTCAGACCCCAGCACGTGTCGGTGTTTGTCACAGCCGCTGATCCCAACCTGGCGGCTGCTGCCTGAAGTCTCCCGCTCCTGCGAAGCCGCACACCTCCCCTAATCCCTTGCACAAAAAGCTGCTTTGGGAAATAACTGCGAAGAAGCGCCTGTCGGACTGGTTCCCGTGCCTCCGCGGGCTTGGTTAGGCTTGCTCCCAGCCAGCCGTCTGTCAGTTGTCCTCCGCACGAGGAGGGCTTAACCAGTTTCTCCCGGGACCGCTGCCTGCGGGACACGTCCCAGCACGCGGGCGCACGGCCCTGCAGCAGGGCTCCCCCGCGCTCCTTCCCCTGCTCTCCCGCGTCCCGGCGGCTCAGTCTGGACCCCTCTGTACCCACACGGATCCCGAGCAGGGGTGGTCCCCGGGACTCTGTGGGAGCTGAAGATCTGCTGTGGCTGTCGGTGCCTCCGTAGTGCCCGAGGAGGGTTCCAGAGTGTGATGGAAGTCGAGGTTCTCCCCCACGCCACAAAGCTGTCCCCTCTGCACGACCCGTGCTCGTGTCTCTGCTTCCCAATTTCACTTCTGGCTTCGGGAGAAGGATCCGAGCGGAGCGTGGTCCAACCTTCACAGCTCTCTTCTTGGTGCCACAGCTCTACCGCCAGACCTTCCTTTCTCCCGTGCAGGAGGTTTTTTGCTTCTTACCCCATGTGCACACAGCGTTCGAGGGAACACTTGCTGCCGCCCGAGCCTCCCCGCGCCCTGCCCTGCGTCTCCGCTCTTCCTTTCGCTGACGTCCTTGCCTGAGGTGTGCTCGCCGTGCCAGCCCCCCTCGCCTTCTCCACCCCCCCCTGCCAGGTGCTGGCGTCCCCATTTCGGCCGGATCCCTTCTCCCCGCTTCTCGCCTGCCTTCTCGGCGTTGGCTTTTGCCCCCCGAGCGCCACAAAACCCTGCCCGGCTTTGTGCTCTGGCCCTGTTGTTGCAGTGCGAGGAGGCGGCCTACGAGGAGCGGCACTACCCGGCCGGCAAGTGGGCGTGCGTCACCAAGGGGGAGCCCCTCTACGAGCAGAGCATCTCCCTCAGCTTCATGAAGCTGATGCGCTACATCTGCAAGGAGAACTCTGTAGGTGTGTGTGTGGGCAGCAGGGGGCTGGCAGGGTGCTCGGAGGGAGGGCCCTGCCTCCTCTCCGCCCTCTCACCCTGCCCGCTTGCTGCCTCCTTGCAGGGCGCTACCTGGGCATGACGGTGCCGGTGCTCAACGAAATCCACCTGAACGAGGAGGGGACAGAGCTGGAGCGCGAGGTCCTGACCGCCTATTACCTCCCGGGGCAGTTCCAGCAAAACCCTCCCGTCCCCATGGACCCCGAGATCCACATCACCGAGAGGGCGCCGCTCCGGGTGATAACCAGGTGACCCCAATGTTGGCCACGTTCCCTGGGCTCGTGGTGGCACCCCGGTGGGCAGAGGGGTGGGAGACCATGGCCGGGGTGATGAACAGCATCTGGTGGCTCTGTAGGCTGACGTTGTTCCCTTTTCCTGTAGGGTTTTCTACGGGATAACCACCGAGGAGACGATTCTGCGGGAGATCGGGCTCTTCTGGGAGCTCCTGGGCTCCACGGACGCCGTGCTCCGAGAAACCTACATCGTGGCCACCTACCAGAACCCCAGCGTCCCGCAGCGCCGCAACGAGATCTGGTTCATCCGACGGGCCGAGTGAGCCCCCACGGCCGGTCCTGACCCGGAGGAGGAGATGCCCGCCCGCGGAATGACGGACCGGGGGGCTACGGGCTGCCTTGGTGCACCTACAGGGGGGGAAACCTGCCCGCTTTGTGCTTCCCCTGGGGGGGGGGGGACCCTCGTAGCCATGCCGGCGTGACCTGGGTGGCTCTTAGCCCCGAGCCGGGGCCGTGGAGCCACACATGGAAGTCATGAGTTGGTGGTGTCCAAACGTGAGGAGCAAGAGAGGCTCAGCCACCGAACGGAGCCGCCGAAGCCTCACGGCCCCACCAGCCAGCTCCGTGCCCCCAAACACCGCCGCGCTGTCCTGGGGGGAGGCCGGCGGCGCCGAACGAGCAGCAAATAAACCCGGCTCAAGCGCTGCGCCTGCGGCTCGCTGGCGGCGGGGACGTGGGGCAGGCGGTGGGACTGGGGAGGCTGCGGAGTCGCCCGCGGCTTCCCCCGGGGCCTTGTGTGGTGCCGACCGCAAGCAGCGCAGGAAGCCGCGGTTCCGCTCCGCTGCGGGCACCCAGCTCGGCCTCGGCCCCACAGGGACGGTGTGGGGAGGGTGGTGGCGGTGGGACCCCATGAGGGGCTCGGGGGGGCCGTGAGCCGGGAGGTGTGGGGCTGGCGGGGGGAGCTGAGGGGTCCCGGCCCCTCACGGGGACCCCTCGGTGAGCCCAGGGCGGGAGGGGGCCGTGCAAATTCCTTCCCCTTTCTGTCTTTTTTTTTTTTATTTTACCTTTTGTACTTTTCTATTTATTTATTTATTTTTCACCTATTTTTTATTTTCTGTATTTGTTTAATGTTTGTATTTTTATTTTACGTGTTTTCACTTTTATTTATTTATTTATTTATTTTAATTTTACGTGATTTTTAAATTTAATTTTTTTTTTTCCTAGATTTTTTTGCACTTTTTTGGCATTTTTCATATTTTTGTAATGTGCATTTTTGTGTTTTTTTTTTTTTTTGGTATTTTTTGTACATTTTCGTATTTTTAAATTCCGTCATTAAAAATGTGAATTAATTTTACTTTTTTTTTTTTTGCATTTTTAAAAAATTATTTAAAATTTTGGCATTTTTGTACTGTTATGACATTTGGGATTGACCGCAAACTTTTAAGCATTTACAATTGCTTATAACTTACGAATCTTTCAATTTATTAATATTTTTGTAACTTTTTTTTTTTTGCGTGTGCTCCCTTGTATTTTATTGTTCAATTTTTGCACTTATTTTATAATTTTTATTTTTTTTTTTTTACTTTTGGTAGCTCTTTGATTTTCCTTTTTCCATTGCGATTTTTTTTTTTAAATTTTACTTTTGTAGTCATTTTTCTGCAGTTTTTTTTCAACTTTGCTTGGTAGCTTGTATTTTTCGGGCTCTGTTTTGTAGCTTTTTCTTGTTTTCCTTTTGCAGTTTGTATTTTTTTTTTTTTGCAGCTTTTTTATTCTTTTGTGGTTTTGTTCTTTTTTGTGTGTTTTTTGTTCTTTTTTGGTGTTTTTTGTTCTTTTTTTGTTTTTGTGTGTGTTTTTTTGTTCTTTTTTGTGCGTTTTTTGTTCTTTTTGGTTTTTTTTGGGTTTTTTTTGTGTGTTTCTTGTTCTTTTTTTATTTGTTTTTTCTGTCTTTTGCCTTTTTTGTCTGCTTTTGTCTTTTTTGTCTATATTTGTGTTTTTTTGTTCTTTTGTGTTTTTTTGTTGTGTTTGTTTTTTTCTGTTTTTATTCTTCTTGGTCTGCTTTTGTCTTTTTTGTCTATTTTTGTGTTTTTTGTTCTTTTTGTGTTTTTTGTTCTTTTTGTGTTTTTTTGTTTTTTTTTTTGTTTTTTTTCTTTTTTATTTTTTTTCTGTTTTTGTCTTTTTGTCTATTTTCTGTTTTTTTTGTCTTTGTCCTTTTTTGTCTGTTCTTGTCTTTTTTTTGTCTATTTTTGCTTTTTGTCTCCTTTTGTATACTTTTATCTTCTTTTATCTTTTTTAATCTTCTTTCTTATCTTTTTTTCTCTATTTCTGTGATTTGTTTTTTGTTGTTGTTGTGCGTTTCTTATCCACTTACTACACTTCCCCCCCTTTCCACCCCCCCCCCACCCCCTCCCCTCCCCCTTTTATCCCCTCCCCTTTCCCTTTCCCCCCGCCCCCTTCCCCGCCAGGCCCCCGCCCCCGGAAGCCCCTCCCGTGGGGGCGGCATGGCCCGGGGCCGGGGCGCGCTCTGAGCTGGGGCGGAGGGGGGCGGAGGATGGCGGCGGTGCGGGCGCTGCTGCTGCTGCTCGGTGAGTGCGGGGCCGGGGGGGGACCGGGGAGGACGGGGGGAGGCTGGGGAGAGGCTGGGGAGGGGGGAGGCTGCGGGAGAGGGAGGCTGGGGGGGAGGCTGGGGGGGAAAGGGGGAGGCTGGGGGGGGAAAAGGGGAGGTTGGGGGGGAAAGGGGAGGCTGGGGAGGAGGGAGGGAGGCTGGGGGGAAGGAGGCTGCAATGGAGGGAGCGAGGCTGCAGCCTTGGAGGCAGGGAGGCCGCCGACCCCCCCGTGCTCCCCCCCTGGATGCGCATCCCCCCCGCGCCACGTAGGTACTGCGGGCCCCTTCTCCTCCTCCTCCTCCTCCTCCTCCTCCTCCTCCTCCTCCTCCTCCTCCTCCTCCTCCAACTCCAACTCCAACTCCATGGGGCTGCCCAGCCGAGCCCCGTCTCGATGGTGGCGGCGACTCCTCAGCCTCCTCCGTCGGGTCGGAGCGTGCTGGGGAAATATTCGCTGAGTCAACTTTTCCGGCGATCCCGAAGCCCCAAATGTCTCCGTCCTTCGGGATCCGCGTCCCGCCTCGGCGCCTTCTCCGCGAGCCCCAAATCCTCCGCCGGCACGGGGAGGTCTCGGGGTTCCTCTGTGGTGTCCCGAAAGCATCACCTCCCAGATGGCTTCGGGACATCCTTCAACCCCCTAATGGATCCCAGCCCGCCCTCCCATCTCCTATAACGCAGTTTTGGGGCGATCAGGGTGTTCCAGCCACGGTTCCGTGGGTGCCCTCACCAGTGGGACCACGTCTCCGTGGGGCTCCCTTTGTGGTGCTCCTTCGGCCGGTGGGGAGCGTGGCCCCAGAGGGCTGCTGGCACCTCCTCCGTGGTGTGTAGGGTTTGGGAGGAAAGGCGAGGGGCGAGCGGGGCAGGGCAATAGGACACTTGAAAGAGACCCGAAGGCCGCCAGGCCCGGCTGCGGGTATTTGCTCGGCGAGCTTTCCACTAATATTTTCCTTCCCTCCGTCGCAATTCATCTCCTCCTTGGGCCGCCGAGATCAAAGCCGTCCTCCGGCGAGTCCACGTGGGCTTTGAGCAAACAGCCGGCCCTACACCTCTCTCCGGTGAATAAACACTCCTTCCTCCCGCAGCCGCTCCGAGCGGGGCTCTCCGGGCTGGAATGCGAAGCATTCGGCCTCAGCACTGGGTGTTTCCACAGCCCTCGATATTTGGGAGCCGGGAACAACCCGCGCATTTAGCAGCAGGCTGGGGCACAAACGTGCTCTTTGTCGGGGCAGTCGCCGCCGTGGTGGTGCGAGGAAAAAATTCCCCCGAGGTTGGGGGGACCCCCGATGGGACGGGGACGGGAGCGGCGGCCTCGTGGGCTTGGGTGGGTTTGGGGAGGGCGGCGAGGCGTTGGGTTGTATGGGGTGGGGATGTTAAATTTGGGGGAGTTTTGTGAAGGTTTCATGCTCGAGGTGGATAGAAGAAACCAACGAGTGCGTTTTGGGGGGAAAAATGGGGATTTGACAGCCGGTACCGGGTGGTTCCTGGGCACCGGCACGGCAGGGGTGCCCCTTGGGTGGTCTGGCTGCGCGTCCCGCTCCTTGCCTGGAGGATGTTTTGGGGACTGGCATCCAATTGCCGCTCGTAAATGCCTCGCATCTGCCGGGAGAGCTGATGTTATCTCACACCGGTGGGGTTCCAGCGCTGCCGCAGCGCGCCTCGTGTGCCAGCGTGCCCCGAGGAGAGACCCCACCGCTGGGCACCGCAGGGCTCGCTTCGGGACAGGGACCCCGTGGGGAGCGGGTGAGGATGCTGCAGGTTTGGGGGCTTCTCCTGTGGCTCCTCGCGAGGTTTTGGCAGCAGTGAGGTCAGGCTTAGCCCCAAAAGCCCTACCCAAAGGTTGGTGCCACCTTCCCTCCGCCTCTGGCGCGCCGCAGCAGGAGGAGGATGAGCGTGGGCTCCGTTTGGGGCCATTCCTTCGTGTTTGGGGGAAACGATGGCACCCGGTGCCACCCCCTGGGCTTTACCTGCGTCTCCCCTCAACCCACGCAGCCCCCGCCGAGTAGCCGGGGAAGATCTGCGAGCCAAACACAAGTGGTCTTTGTTTCAAAGCATCAATTTGTGTTGGCAGCCAGGTCTGCAGCGCATGTGCTTTTCATTGACTGCCGCTCCAGCTCCGTTCCTCACTCCGTGTGCCAGCAGTTTTTTTTTTTCCCCTTTCTTTTTAAAGATTTAATACAAAAATGTTTTTCCTGAGCTTAAAAGGCTGAGCCGTACAGTACTCCTAGTCTTAATTTAAGCCTTGCCTTTTTTTTTTTTTTTTTGGGGGGGGTGCCGGTGGAGAGGGGACAGGCGGGTGCTGTGCCATCAGCCAAAAGGAGAGGCGAGGGGCACCTCGGAGCAGCGTGCAGCTTCTGGAGGCCTGGGACGCGGGGCTGGGCTTCTCCTGAGCCTGCTCATCTCGGGGTGCTTTGGGGCAGCAGCCGGGTAGGTGCTTTTGGTGCTCTTTGGTGTGCTCAGCTCTCCAAAATCACTCTCCCATTTCGCCCCCTCGGTGAAGGCGTCCTGCGAGGACCCATCCTGAGAGCTCCTTTTAACCCCGTAAAGCATTAGGGCGGCGTCCTGGCAAGGCCCGGGGCGCTGCTTAAAACCTTCCTGCTGCTGGTGAACAGACGGATGCTGAGGCATCGGGGTGCCCCAAGAGGAGAAACCAAAACCAGACGGCTCCAAGCTGGCAGCGGCGGGCACCCACCGGCTCCTCTCCCCTCTCACAGCGGGGACACCCAAGCTGTGTGCCTGCAGAGGAGGCTTTAACCCGTGACCCCGCAGTCACGAGGTGTTGGGGTGACTTCTGCTGAGAACGGAGCAGGATTTTCCTGATTTTTTTTTGGGGTGTTTCTCTTGTGCTTACCTAGGGCCCCGGAGCGTGTCCTGGGCGCCTCCGCCGAAGCCGCGGTTGCGGGGCGGCTGGGAGCTCTGTGGGGCTGGGGGGGTTACGGCAGTGGCGGGGCTCTGCAGGAGAACTGGTAGGGGCAGGCTGCTGTCTGGAAGACGGGGTGGCACGGCCGCTTCCAGCTGCACGAGCCCTCCAGCTCTGGGAAATGAGACAACGCAGGCTGGGAAGCAGCGACGGGGGCTGCTGTGCGCACCGGGAGCTCCCGCAGGACAGG